CGGCCATTTGCGGTCGCCAGCGCTTCCGGTGCCATGACGCTGAAGACGCGGCTAAACCCCTTTGCAGTGCAGCTTTTCCCAACCTGCACCAGCATAGCTAGCCTGCGTTCGCAGCACCGCATCCAATGACAGCGACTCAAGACATTTGCCATTCACAATAGACTTGTTAGACTCTATGACTAATCATCTGTGGGGGTTTGTCTGGGCGCGCAGGGTGCAACGTTGCGCGGACGCTGCTCGTATCTGTCGCCTCGCGGCGCTCGTTCCGACGCTCTCCAGGGAGCGCACGCAGCGGACACCAAGAAGCCGAAGCCTGCGGGCCTGCGCATGGGTGTCCACATTGGACGCGCGCCTTGGGCGAGACGCCAACCCATCCGTGGCAGGTCATGAGCTCAAGGGCGGGCGTTGATCAATCCCCGGGGCAAATTCCATGCTTCGATCGAGACCTGCACCGATCTCAGGCGTGCCCTCTCCTTGTTGCAGGCCATCCGCAGCGATGGAGTCAGCGCGGGTGAAGGGAATGGGAGTTGGGCGTGGTGGAGGGTGCGGCTGCGGAGAGGGGCGTTCGCGGCTCGCTGGCCACCGCCGCAACGACGGAAGGATGGACGAACATTTCCGCACGCGGTACGCGTAAGCTACACGGCGCGCCCAGCCCGCCACCGCTGCACTCAGCGTCACCGAATCGATCATCTTTGCAGCGCATGCTGCAAGATTGCTTCGTGTTCGCGCAAAGGCAAGTCACCATCCGTATCATCAGGCACCATGGACCTCCGAGAACCGGAGCGCGCTGCTCGTTACCCGCGGACGCGCTTCGCTTCCGGCGCTACATTGCGGTCGGGGGCGGCCTCTGCCGATCGTCCTGAGCCCGCTCGACTCACGCAGATCCGTCGCGCGACGATTTCCCTGGCCACTCACCAGGAAAGCGATCGCGATGCCTTTCCCCATGTCTCCCACGCGACCGGCGGCTCAGTTCAGTCTTGCGGACTTGCAGCTTGCGACACGGTTGGGCTGCGCTCGAGCTGCTGTGACGGCGGTGAGAGCGTCCGAACTAGTTGCCCAGTGGGGCGGCGGCGGAGTATAAATAGGCCTGGGCGCAGGAACGCGGTGCGACGGCGCGCAGGTGTCCAGCGTGGGCCAGCCGTGGGCGCGTGGCGTTAACTGCCGGGGAGGGTGTGTTGCCCTATCCGGAGATTCCATAGTCGCTGCCGTCGGTTTCTGTCGGGTGTGTTTCGGCAGACGCTGGGGCACGGCCTGACGTTGCCGCCGACTGAATGATGGCTGGATGACTCGCGTGAGCGCATGAATCGCGTTGCTTCCTGCGACCTGCCAGGATGACCGTTGCTGGCGGGGGCCAAAGGGGTGCAGGCCTGCGAGCCCCGAATGCGAGTCAGGACAAATGAGTCAGCCGCGCGAAGGGTGCAACGTGCTTCCACATAAGTAACAGATCGGTGCGTATGCGCCCAGGCGGTGACTATTCGGGTCCAAAATCCAAGTTACGTGATGGTCACCACAGATGCCGCACAGGGTGAAGTGCATGAGGACAATGCAAACGTGGGCGTCACTCTTACTGTGTTCGGGCTAATGTCTAGTGTTGTTAGGGAGACTGCATTCATATCAAGCAACTGGCGCCTTCTCCTGAAGTTTGGGCCACGCCCTAAGTGTGCTCTGTCAGGGCGCATTGCAAATCATTCTGCCCAGCGATACAGTTAGGGCTGCCATCTACTGCGGCAGTGCTGCATGCCAGTCAGTGCCTGTGCCTATGATGTTGGCATGAGCCAGGGCGCCAGGGCAGGACCCGCTCCCCCACGAAAAGGCAGGCGATCGCTTTTTGGAGGCCGCTGGCCCCCTCGCGCACCTCATGGGTGCGCCGCAGGTATGCACCGGAAGCCATGGCAGCAGAATGCCAGACGCCATCCAGCACTGCTGCATGCCATGGGCGCCCATGGCGGCCTGCGTCACAACCCGCGCGCCACCCGCGGCCAGGAAGCGGTTAAGCGGTCACCAAGGGCTTTTCCCAGAACCGACGCACGATCAAACTGCGCACAGCGGTTGGTGAGCTTGGGAATGGCGTTGTTGTTGTACGCGTTGTCGTTGCCAGTCTTAGCGCAAAGGGCAGGCGGTGGACAGCAACATCACGCTCGCAACAGCTGGCTTGCAAGGCAGCCTGCAGCTCGTCCAGTGGCGCTATCCTGCAGGCATCCAAAGGATGGGTAGGTGGACAGGCAGGCATCAAAATCGACGTTGTTGGCGCGAAGGCAAGTAGCAAATGCCAGAGGGTCAGCTAAGATATAGATCCGAGCAAATTTCCACACCTTGGTCGATTCGAAAGTCAGCCAAACGATAAGATACGCACCTTTCTGTGCAGTCTAAAATCCCTTGTTGGAATTCACTTTGCACAATCAGAATCTCCATTGCATCTTGCAATGTTAATCCATGCTCATCAATGCCTGTTAGTTGCTGGGGCCCACGTTTCTTCTAAAGCCATTTACAACCAATGAAACAAGCAAGCCAGCGAAAAGTTTGCTTGGCACGGAAAGTAAGATTTGAAGGTTTGAAATGATTGGAAAAGCACCTATTGGCCGGGGCGAAAACTAGTGATATTGCCATCGACAAACCGAGTGTGGACCCCGCATCGCGCGCTGCCACATCCCTTCGTATACACAAGAGTGGTTTTTTGCAGAATCTACAGCAGAATTTTCTTCAATCCTCTTGAAATCTCATCTTGCGATGGTGATTCCGAGTTCTCGAGTTGAAAGCAAAATTCTGTCGCTAAACTTGTGCAAGCGCTCACTGTCTGTTGGCAGCAATTATCCCTTGCTTCAATCTGCGTGGCTTGATGGCTTGATCTTGGGTCGGTGCTGGGAAAGACCCTTGGTGATTGCTTGACGGCTTCTTGGTAGCGGGTGGCGTGCGGCTCTGGCGCAGCGCCGCCATGGGCGAATCTTCGCCGATGGATCCACTGGCCAGGTGGAGGCCTCGAAGGCTGCGCGGGATTACAGCTTGCGTAACGCGCAAACGGCGAGAGGCGCCAGTGCTGGTGGTGATGCAATGCAGCAACGGTCTCACGGGACAGGTGACGGGCTTTGGGGGCCCAAATGATGTACCGCTACCGAATTACTCACAGTGGCAGACAGGGCAGCGAACGTGAGCATCCAGTGCGATGCTGCAAGGCTGAGATTGTACGTCTCCAATGCCTTCCCAGATGTAAAAACTTTGCCAATGTCGGCCAAGCTTTCCATCAAATGTGATCGACTGGAACTAACCCTAGAGAGGTGGTGATGCGTGCTACAACAATCTACAGCATCTGCAAGGCAATGTACGCAATTGGTGACTATGCTACCAAGTTTCAAGCAAGATAGCGGTCAATCTGTGTGGTTAATGTCTTTGTGCGACTGGACATTTGTGGAAACTGCTGCGAGCCTATGCTGCATACATTGGCGAATCGGAGATTTGAAGTCCTGCTCTAATTGATTGAGAAATTCTCAAGATGCTTGCTGGAGTAAATTTAACTTCTCAGTGAGTGCCGTGCATCAAAACGCCAATGCTGACGTGGATTTTCATGCTGATCAATGCACAATTGATTCGGAGCAGGCCAGAGCGAGGTGTGACATCCTCACTTTTCAAGTTTTCTGCCTTATGCAGATGTATTTTGCGTGGTTCTATGAGGTCTGACAGCCCAATAGGGATGCGACCTACTGCGCACAGAAACATAAAGAACATGTTCATGAATTTGGTCATGAAAATTTATGGAATTTTGTTGCTGATGCACTGGGTAAGTGTATCAGCCCTTAATTCAATCAAGAAGTATGACTGGGCTGATTTGTGGCGTGGCTGTGACGTCACAGCGTTGTTTGTGCGCAGTACATTGTAGTGCGCGAAAGGGCAGGCGGAGCCGTAGGTGTGAACGAATACAACTGCGAATCTTTCAGGCTGCGCCACAGATTCGATTGTGGTGCTGCGCGTGTACTGGGAAGGTGACGAAGGAATGAAGCGACGGCCACCTGAGCGTTGCAAGGGGGACATGTGAGGATTAGAAGAGCATGGTGTGAGGTTTGCGGAAGCATGCTGCAATGTGATACGAAAAAAAGAGTACGAGGAGCAAGGAGAGTGAGAATGATGTGAACTGCCATGTTTGGACGTGACCTGGTAGAAATTATATAAGATTGGGCTGTACTACCCTTTCTGATGTGACTAGGGTATTTGGGGAGTGGGTGCCGCGCTGTGTGCGGGTCGCAGGCCGCATGCTGCTGTGCCCAGTGTCGGAGGGGCTGAACGGGATGGACCATAGTCCGCAAAGTTGTAAGCACCCTGTTGACAGTCAAAGCGTGTGCGACCCGTGCACGCAGGCCGTGGCGCACAGCCCCACCAAAATGGCATTGCGGCCAAGATTTTGGGGTCTCCTGTACTCGGATGTCGACAGATCGTACCCATTGCATTTTTCCCATTCGAATGCATGGGTTTCCAAGCGATTATGAGAACCGAAACGGCTTTCCGCGTGTTCCTCACCCAAGGCCTGGATTCTTGCGTGAGCCGGGACGTGCAAGGCCAGGAGGCCCGTTTGAGTTGGATTTTCCGTGGCGGAATCGCTGGTGACGTGACCGCAGGGGAGCTGTACGTCCCCAGATTCGTCTCCTTCGACGCAAATCCAATCGAGCCGGAAGGCGGGACAGGCGAAGGCTTGGCGCTTTGTGGATTTTCGCCCGGGTGGCTGCCTTGCCAGACGGCCACCTCTTGCAGCAGACAAGGGATCTTACCGCAGCGATTCTCAACATGAGAAAGGACAACGCTGGAAAAACTTAGAAACTTAATTTGGAGTACATCCAGCGATACCGGCCCACAAGGCAGTGCGTCCACCCCCGCTGGCCTGTCAGGCAAACGATCCTAGCATTCCCCCCAGCAATGCCAAAATCGATCATCAGCAAACCCTGTACTCAATTTCGACGGAAGGAGCAAACGCGCGAACGTGGTGCACCGCCGTTTCCACAGACACACCCACATTCTCACACTTCTACTCGTTTCAATTTCTTCATAACGTAATTGCCCATCCCGGTCTTTCCCCCTTCAACTCGCCGTCTCCTTCCGGACTCACCACCCGCTTGTGACTCGCCTGAAAGAGCAAGGGGAACAACCAGAGGGTGAGCGGAAAGCGAAAAAGAACATTGCTTTGGGTTTGTGTGCGTCACACGGCATGGGCATCGCCCATTGTGACGTTCATGGTGTGACGTGCAACATTGAAAGTGAGCATTAGTGCACAATGTATGTACTCGTTACTATATTCACAGATGAAAACCAAAGGGCGTGCGGCAATGCTCATGGCTCAGCTCACATCCCCCATGCAAGCATAGCAGCGTGGGGGGCTCCAAGTGATAACGACAAGAGGGATTCTCCCCCAAGATCTCTGGCAACCTGAGCGGCCAATGCTTGCTAATATCTTGCTAATATCGTGTCAAACATCTTGTCACTCTCATTCTGTGTCCCTCACCCGACTGTTGGTAGAACTCGAGCAGCAGTTCCTCAGCAGACCCTTGCATTACGAACGTCTCCACATAGGTTGTACTGCTCGCACCCATGCGGTTAGCACGTGACACTATCTGGGACTCTAGACTGCGGTCCGCCAGAGGCTCCATCAAAAACACGTGTGATGCAATGCTCAAGTCCAGCCCAACAGCCCCCGTCACGTCCATCAACAGCACCCGCATTAAGGGGTCTGTCTTGAACTTGTGCACCTCGATGTCTTTTTCACTGCACCATGCACACACGGGGGTTTAAGCACCGGGAATAGAGCATGATGCAAGCTTCCCACAGATTGTTTGGCAACTGCAGCACTGCTGTGCTACTCGCAGCTAATGAGCAGTGGTCCCACTGCTGGTAGGACTACAATGGCAGCATAGTGTACGATAAATGATGGTGAAATCTGATAGATCATGGCCTTCTTGTCCTTCTCAACATATCCTGGTTATCGAACTTGACTGGGTGTACTTCAACAAGATGATGTTGATACTCAGCCACTGCTTGGTCGGGGCACAAGATGTGTATTTTTCACACAGGGCTGTTCTGTGTTAAGTTCAGTCACAAGAATGTAAGCTTCAGATAGGTTAAACAGCTAACAGTTGTGTACCAAATGTGCACCATGATTTCAAAAACAAACCAGTCTTGCAGTTGCAACAAAGTTCCCAGGCCGCTATTCATCAGTGGCCCCTTCCTACCTTGTCATCATGTTACTCCTCAGGGTGCAGCAGTGTGTGCCATTGGTCTGCAGGTGCCGCTCGATCACGTTCATGTGGTGCCAGAACATGGTGTACACGATCGCCTTCGTGTTCTCCACAGCCACATTTCCCTCAGCCAACTTCTTCTCCCCAGGGCCTCCACTGCCTGGATGTTCCTTATCGCCCTGTGGCAAGATCCAGTCACAGCCAGATCAGTGGGGACTCATTCTTGCTGTTGGAACTGGTGGACACCACTAGCCCCATTCCAGGGATGAGGTTACAGTTTGTAGACACAATCTGCGATGCTGGTGCGATGCTCACAGACAAACGCAAAACACCTTCTGCCCCTCTTTACTCCTTGCACCATTGTGATGAATAGCTACAATATTTCTCCCGGATGCTGGGATCCAGTCGGGCATCCCTGCCCTGCCAAGACTCACACTCAAGCCATCTTCATTCGACTCATCGCACACTGCCTTTGCTATCCCGATCTCCCGGAGGCGCTGCAGCAGATGGTCACATTTGGACGACACAGTTTCCTCCCAGGTTGGGCTCCACTCGCCACCGCCAAGCCCCACAGCACCCTTCTGTGTATATGAAGGCTGCCACTCTATCACCTCGATGGGCACAGGCAGCTTGGGGTTAGGGTTCAGGGCGCGGCGCCCTTTGTCGGCTGTGCCCTGCATCCTGTATGACGTTCCACAGGATGGGGCCGGGCAGCACTCCCTGCAGTTACAAAGACTCGTTTCTTAGCAGGAAAATGGTCATGCAGTTGGCACTTGCTTTGAAAGCAGGTCAAGCTTCACGACATTCTTTCCCTGTGCCACAGCAAATGTGGAACATGCCTCCAAATGCAACAAGAAGAGCAATCACACAGAAGGAACCACTGCACGTTGACAAAAGTCCCCTGTCACCATCAACCATCAACAAGAATGAGCAGCACAAGGTCGCAACAACATGGTGCAGCCATTAATCCAGTTGCAAAACTGCTGTACCCTTAAGACACCAAATGCCACCAAAACAAATGGTGAAATGAAACCACCAGCAAGGTGCAACTAGCAATATCCCAGGATGCATGATTTCTGATATGTCGTCAAGTTGCTTTCCCTTTGTGGATATGGACGCTCAACAAGGCTCGTGGACAGCACCACATCGAATTCAGCCAGGGCAGCATCTGTTGGGCAAAATTTCATTCAAATCCCTTCCACACTCCACACGAAATGAACACTGCTGTGGATATCAGCGCCTCATGTTCTATCTGGTTTGCATCGACATGTGAACTCACTTGACAACTGAGCTCGCCTGCAAGTACGAAAGGCTTCATTCAAGTCTGTTCAGTGAAGTGTGGCCTAAACACCTAAATAATGAGCACAATCTAGAATACCATCTTTGATGGAGACCAAATGAAGGAATCCGAAATCTCATATTGATTGTGGACAGGCATGCGACTAATCAAATTGAAGGTTGGATGGAACTGAACCAAAATACAAAGACCTGCTCTGCAGGGTGTGAATGTTGCCAATCCTCTACTAGTGTTTCGAGGTTTCCAAGAGCTTAGATCCAAAGTGCAATGCTGCGGAACAACCCATAGCTTGTTTGAGCAGGAGTTGGAAGATCAAGTACATAATGCAAATGCTGACAACAGGTACCCAACACCTCTTCTGCCCAACTGCTGTCTCCGCTTTGCCAAGCCCCTTTGGAACCAATGCAATGCAACATTGACATGGATGAAATAGCTCTCAACATCTAATCCTTAACACAGCGCCCCCCCTCCCCACCCCACCCCACCCCCTCCCCCCTTTATTGATATCGGAAAGGTGGTACTTTGTTCTGTTCTTGAAAATCACAATGCACAAAGAACTCAGTGGAGCCACCCACCTGCTCTGTGAGACACAATCCAGGCACAGCACGTGGGCACATGGCGTCACAAATGGAAGACGGGCCCTTGTCCCACACTTGTCACAGCTGCTGCCCTGGCGGAGTGCAACCTCGATTCGCGACAGGGGGTGTCCAAAGGGCACCCAGGGTGGGCTGTCAAAGAAGTCTCCTTGAGGCATCCCATGGCGTTCTGCCAGCAGTTCCAGTGTTTCCTTCAGGTCAGCTTCATTCACCTGCAAAAAGGCACACTGGCCTTAAGCAAGGCTCCCTTTCACACAAAGCGCCACCACTTAGAAAACACAAATGCCCCAACCATCCTTCCTATCCTTCTTGATTGCAAATTCTTGTAGGTGATGCTACTGTTCAAAGGCCCCTGAGGTGGCCATGTCAGCAACTACGATGCAGACTGTTTTCAAACGAACAACCATTCACCTGCCTTCAGTACTGTACTTTGCTGACACTGGCAATGCCAACATGTTTCAGTGCCAATCGAGCAGTGCTTGGGTCACAGCAAGCTGCCTGTGCCTCATGATCACCTGCAGGTTGCAATTTCCAGCAACAACACAGCTGAGACGAAGGTTCTTCAGCATTTGCCTATTCCACTTGCTGTTCTGCGGGCTCAATAGGCTCTCAATGTGGTCTTCCTCGCCCCAATCAGCCAGCAACAGGTTTCGTTTGATCACCTCCACTAGGTCATTGTAGCCCTGCGCATGCTCCTTTGCAAACTGCAGGAAGGAGGTCTTTTTGACAGCTGTGGGGAGTGTGCGCAGCTGCTCCTTGCTAGCGCGGAGCATGCAATGGCGAAGGACGGCCATCAGTCGTTGTCGACCTGCTCAATAGGACATGAAGTTTTCAATATCAGGCAGTAGCTCAGTTGCCACAAAAGGCACCTAAATGGCAATATCTAGGCTTGAATGTTAATCATAAGGCAACAGCTAGGATTCTGAGGGGAGTTGGCTTAACAAAACGGGCAATGCGCTATTGCTTTAATGTTGTAAATCATCGCCTTGAGTCTTACTTTGCCCCTTGAAAAACAATGGCATTAACATATGAATGGATGACAAGCACATACAGCATATATCCAACCCTGATGAAAAAGCCAATCAGTGATCTGGTGGGGCCCTTGTTGCTAGCTGGCAAGAGGCAAGACTTAAAATGCCAACAAGAGCAGTCGTGCTTGGCCACTAAGGTCAGCCCCTCTGCTTGATGCTTCAAGTGCTTACTGCAGACTCACCAACTACATCGCCAGCATCAAATGGCCTGTGGATGGCCTCATCGAAAGCCTTTCTGTTCAAACCGAAGGGCTGTTGGCGCAGGAATGCCAATAGGGGCTGCAGGTGCCCCACATGGGATGTCGGACTGTGCTGTGGCGTTGGAGTCCCTGTAACCACCCAACGACGCTCTGCCCGAAGCATTCGAGCCATCTGTGATCTGCTTGTGAATGCCATGGTGTTTCCCAGCAAGTGGCCCTCATCGACAACCACACGGAGCCAATGAATCTATTCACCAATTCACCAGACCAAGTCAGAACTGCAGGGATTCCCACACGATCTACAGCAGGTGGTACATTCGCAAGCATCAGCACCAAGTTGCTATTGAGAATGCCTGTCAGCAGGGCACCAACCCTTGATCCAGTTAAAGTACAACCATGCAAAATTGTGAATGATATCAATTCCCTCTACTTACTGCAATGCGGTTCCAGATAACCCACTGCTGTTTCTCTATTTCCGAAAAGTCACTATGCTGGAACATTAAGGAGGGAAAAATTTGCTTCACTGGCCTGCTGCGATGTGCATTAAGCCGTTTTTGCCTGCCCATTTTCATCCATGGATGGACAGATGTTACTAAAACTCGCCATTCAAGGGGAATGAAAGCATACAACACAACAGCATGAAACTGGAGCTCTCACTAACATGTCCTTCATGGTTCAGCTAATCAGAGAGCATCAGTTTCCAGCTGTCTGCAACGACCCATTCAAAGAGGGAAGAGGCATGCACAATGCACAACACTGCAAGAAAGACCCCATGTAACAGGAAAAATCTGCACTGGCACTGTAAATTAATCAGTCAGTATATGGCAAAACAATGCCCTTCACCCGATTAATGGCAGTGAGCACCCTTACACTCAACAAATCTGCACCCGAATGGCTTCCCGTTGCCCACCCGATGGCTTGCTAGATTGAGCTAACACTCAGAGACAGCAAATGTTACAACATGGAAAGCACTGGCCTTTGGCTTGTCATTGTACGTCCACTACGAGGTTGGGCCCACCTGGAGTAATGGACTATTCCCCCTCAATTTCGTCCGCCTGTTCCACTCCATGCTTAAATAGCCAAACGTTGCGAGAATGACATCTGCCCCCCAGGCAAGATCGTGGATGTGTGGCTGCTTTGAGCTGCCCGTGAGCATCAGCACACGCAGCAGGTTGCCATTGAAATGGTGCACCACCTGCTGCTTCCACTGGTCCACAAGGGTGGGCGGTACGACTACAAGGGTGGCTGGGGAGAGGTACACACGTGCCAGCAACTGCTTGGGCTTCTGCCAACTTGACAGCACTGTTCGGATGGCTGCAGTGTCAAGGCGCAGGAAACGATGGGTGTCTAGCTGCTTCCACACGTAGGAAGGCCTGAGGCAGGATTGAGAGCCGTTCTATTTAACTTCTGGTGGTTGTGTGGGGTACACCCCAAGAAAGAGCAGTGAGCTGCACGCCATGTGAATTGGAACCATGCAAGTGGACCACACTATTTGGCATATATGCCGGCAATTCACTTGGCCATGTTCCAAACACAAACACAGCCTGTGCTGTGCAAAGCAATGACTGGCATCTTTCATGCAGCACCGCCTGTTCTAGACTGCGTGTAATTGCTGTCGTTACTCATATAGGAGCATCAACATAGATTTTGTTATATCTACGTTCCAAGCCAAAACAAAAAAAGATTGTCAAACAAGTCTATGACTTTGAATTGCATCACTGGTGTGGATATTTGGAGCATGACTTGACCATGACGGCAACTGGAGGTAGTGTAAATCCAAGGGGGCCTATCTGTTATTTGAATGGCAAAACTGTGCTCTACAAACGCACAAATGACAAAACTACCTGAAACCAGACACAGCAACAGTGAAGTATTTCACAGCGAAGCACAATCCAATATGGCAAAGGAACCACTGATGAACAATTGGGACTGGCTGTGGACGTTCTGAGTGCACAAATGACCCCACTGGTGCCACCAAGTGTGTGGGTGAATGGGCTGACAAATTCCATAACTGCATAAACAACGTGCATGTCACATCCCAGGCAGCCGCATCGATGTCACAGAGCACGCCTTTCGACTGCATAGACACCCCAAAAAGGCATTATGAATGTGTGCTTTTAGAAACTTACATTCCTCCTTGCCATTATTATGCAGGATCTGGGAATGTGTGTGGCAACGCTATTGTGGATATCTCCAAGGCATTACCTTCCACTGTGACTATTCAATGCTCAATTTTTGTTATCATCAACTCAAACAGACTTGCCCCATGGCCATAATGACCTTGCAAGCACACCCTCACCTCCCCTTTGGGGTAGGGAAGGTCCGCAGGCCCAATTCCTTGAAGAGATCCTCATACCCCTCAGGAAAACGATAAGCATTTGGAATGCGAATGCCATCCACTAGTTTGTCAGGATCCAGGTCTGCCAGCCAGTAGATGGCATAATCTGCATGACCCATGCAGTGATGGTATGGGCCAAAGACATCCCTGCACAGCGCAGATTTCTAACATTGGGAAATCGAAGCAACTTCTTCGCTGATGGACTGTCTGGGCATATAACCCAATGACAAAAGCAGTGCGTAGTTGCTCAGCAGCATTCAAACCAAATTAGAAACACCCAGAGAAGTGCATGCTGACTGTCATGCCAGAAAGACTGTGGGAAAATGCATCTGAGAAAAGGCCATTGGTATGCCCTTGTTGCTTGGTCACAAGTCAACAAGCTTGCTGATTCAGTGAGATTCAATGCTGCCCAACACACTCACTGAGTTCACGAATTGCTGGTCACTGCCATTTCATGTCTGAAAATAAAATTCAGGACTCTTTGCTCCATGCCCGTATCCAGTGAGATAAGACTTTGAGCACTTCCCAAGTCGGTAGCAGGGTGCCCTGTGCTTCCCAGTTCTCCCAGCATATACTGGCTTTTGTTGGTCTTTTGGAAGACATAGGGCATGAGCAAGTCCACCTTCACAAATTCTATCATCAGCCCAGCAGTCTTCCTTCGACATGATATGTAAACCTTCATCCGAGGTGCAGTGTACAAGTAATACAAATCCACAATACAGGTGTGGAAGCACACTAGTCTAAATGGTTATACCCTTGACTGCCCATGAAGTGATAACATAGCAGTCATTGACACATCTGTACATCTTCCATTTGGCGGTGCGATTTTGTAAGGCACTTCGTGCACACAATGGGGCAACAACAACGATTTCATTCTATTGCTGCACATCCAGTTCAAACTGCATGGCTGCACTTGACCAAAATTGCACAGATTGTTCAGCACAAACTCAAAACACTGGGGCTGTGCTCATAGACTGTACAGTTCAGATGTGAGAGGCCAGTACGAATATTTATTTGGGAGATAAACATTGCTGGGGGTGAAGCTGCCACATATCCACATTCAAGGCATTTGGCAGTGCCTCATCAAATTTGCAAAAACATCATCACATTGGACTGAATCAATGTACGTGCCCTCAACACAAAATGCCAACCAAGTACAAGACTCTGCAAGCATGCCCTTGCAACTGGGTCGCAACTTGCAACAAGACACCAGTCACTGAATGTCCGAGCCAGCATGCAAAAGACAGAGCCAATGGTGGTAGTCACTGGATGTTCTGGCCCAATCATTCACTTAAGAGAAATTTCCGACAGCCAAAACATGGAGCAAGCAACCAACCACTGAGCAATCACGGGGGGTTTGACTTTGGCCCATTTTGATCACCTGAAGTGACAGACATTCTCCCCCTTGCCACCAGTGGCACCTGCGCTCACAAAGCCCGAGGCACTGGAAAACAGCCCTTTAGCACCCTTTGTTTCTGCAACTCGGCACGATCTGAGCGATGGATCTGGGTGCATTCGACAAAACCAAGGAGACTCGCCATCGATCTACACACAGCAAGGCTCTGGTAAATTAGTGCTTGGGCCAGGACAATCTGCAATTTGCATGGCACTGGGTTTTGAATGCTTGGAATACATTTGTCACCTGTGGCAAATTGGAGCCAAGCCTGGCACCCCTGCACCAGAATTGCCACAGGGTAGGATGATGGGCGAACAAAGGAATCGTACAATGGTCATAGGGTGCAAGATTCAATGGGACTTGCAAGACTTGAGCATGTGCTTGCAGGGCTTCAGTTAGGTAGTACCAAACGCCCAAAGTGAACCACAACTTCATGCAGCTTCAGCAACAATTGAAAGCAATTGAAAAAAAGTACAACCCTCTGTATCGCACTTTCCAAAGGATAACAGACATGTCTGCCTGTGCACAACGGGTGCAACTTGGGGCCACCTCCTTGCTGGTGCCATCACAGTCTCTTCCATCACGATACTGGCTGCAGCAAACAACTGTATTGCAGAATTCAGAATGCAGGTTAGGAAAGAGACAACTTCAGAGCCCGCATATTATGCCCACAACACTTCATTGATGAAAGAACATTGGTTTTGTCTTATGCTGACTAATGCAGTCCAAGTGGTTCCCGCCATAAATGCTCACCTCATGACCTGCAGGCAGCATTCTCCACTTGGCACAGCCCTCGCATTGCACCCAATTGTCCACATTTGCCATCACCTGTGAGGCCTCATCAATACCGCTGGGGATTAGGCAATACCTTAACTCCTCCACAGGGTGCATTCCACATAACCATTTGACATCGTTGTCCACCTGTAACAAACAAAACGGTTTCATTTCTATAGTACACCACAACAAACCACTGCTTTTACACATGCAAGGCGATGACGGGCATGATTCAATTCATGAACCCCATTTGAGCATGTTTGTTCCACACACCATAGCAGGTGCCAATGCGCAAAATCGGCATGCAAGCACCCAAAGTGGGACTACTGGCAATCTATGAAGAACTTACTCGTGGCACCAGGGTTCGTTCCGAAGCCTTTGATTGAGCATTCAGGCATTGATACTTCTAAATTCCATACTAAAGAGTTACAGCGTTGTACGCAGTGGAACTCCCAATATGAACTGAGTTTTCGTTGGGCAGGTATTGGTGCACAGCACTGGTGGCATGTGGCACCCAGCAGTGCCATATCCACCTCTACACATTTACAGATAGAGCACATGGAATCGCACTGTTTGTGCTCACCTTGTGTTCAATTGGCAGTACTCGCCACTGCCTGCATGCAGCACATTGCACCCGTGGCCCAGTGTCCTTTTTCGCCTTTTTCTCAGATGGCAAAGTGGTGGATGCCATTTCCTTCCCCCTTCCCCTCTTCCTCCCTGATTGTTGTGCTCCTGGTAATCTATCACGACGCCTGGATTGATTCCAAGACCTGTGTGTTGTCGACAGCAGAACAGCACCTTTTGCTCAAAGTTCATATCAACACAAAACACATATTGTACCGTAAGGAAACTAAGCGAAATGGAACATAGGGCACTGGGCTACACAGATACACGCCAGGCACCAGCAAAGATCAAATGTGTGTGGTATGTCTGCAAGATCAAGATCCCTATTCAGATGCCATCATTCTGGCTTCCTTTTGAAGCCCTGCACACACAACTTGCAGAGCACCACAACTCATGAATGGACCATGCACTTGCCCTGATACTGATTGGAAGGGCTACAGCATGTGACACCAACTTCATCATTCAACAGGCACAAAAAGTTCACTGTTCTAATAGAGAGCCCCCACTGGCTGTTGCCGTGTTCACTTTGCTCACAAGGTATGCAATCAAAACAAAAATCCTATATGTACTAAATCCCTTGCAGGACATCCTTCTGATGAAACTTTCCAATCCAAAACCTCTTGTTTGCTGAGCAGTGGGGAACCAGCTGTCCGCAGACACCATCAATGCACACAGGACCCAGAAATCCATCCATGCCATGCACTACTTATAAGAGGTGAGCATTTCTGTTTGCCCCCTACTTCCCACAAATCAAGCTATTTTGTCGCGTCCCTGATGTCTGTCCAGATCCAAAACTCACAATCTGCGTCTTGTCGTTGATATTGCAGTACTGTCTTCACCCGATCGCTCCACGCTGCCAGGGCTGCTCAAACTTCTCTGAACAACTGCACTGCCGGGTGTGGACACTGCAGACTCAGCAGCTGGCAGTGGCACCGAAGACCTAGTGCATGGCGACTCAAGGCTCACGAGGGTCGCCTCAGCTTCCTTGCTCCCATTCAGGGAAGGCCTGAGGCGCAGTGATCTGCGAGAGGAGATGTGCTTCGTCTCCTGTGGATCGTCACTCCCCATGAGGAGCTCCTCTTGGTCCACCATGTAGTACCCCACCTGTTGATTCTGCGCATCCTTGAAATGAACCACCTGTGCACCTGCAGGGGCCTCAGGGAGGGTGCCTTTTGTGCGCACAATTGTGGAGAGAACAGTCACTGTTTTGCCCAGACCCTGCACAAAAGCAAAACTAGTCAGCTCTGCAAACAAGGACCTCAACCTGACAATTCCTGAGGACCGCCACTTGGTCCCATAAACAATGCCCAAAATCGTGTACTTATCAGTGGGGACAGTGACGATTTGAAAACTGTCTCAACGACAGTCTATGCATACGTGGACTGAATGCTGCCATCTGCCATGGCCACTCCAAAACCTCTGCTTTATGTCTTCCTGGTTTCCTGGCCATTGCAACCTATCTCCTTTGCAGATGATGCATAACAAGCTCAGGAACAGCCACACAAAGCATAGGTGTCATGGGCACCCAGGTTTGCACTACCATGAGCAAAGGCTGCCAAATACATCGCAAGGAGCTCCTTGTTCACGCACCGGTTCATCACAAAGCATGCCGCCTCTGAAATCCATAACAGCAGGTGGCGCCTTCAGCATGAACTCCCCTGTGACCTGGTAAACAAACAGTACAGAGGCCATGTGTGACTTGCTAGTAACGACGTGTTGCTGGCCACATTCTTCACACGTACACGCCCTTTGGACCATCACAGCTGCTTCAAGTGCCATGGCTGGCTGTTAGCAACCCTAACAATTCTTGTCCAGGCAAAGGCAGCAAAATGGCTCTTGTGTTTGAGGACAAGAAGAGCGAATGTGCTTGATGATACATGGGTTCCTGACACATAAAATCGTGACCTGAGTTGTTGAGCTGCAGCCAACCAAAGCACACAAAAGATCATCAAGTATATGTGCATAACAATAGCAAGAGAACCTCTTTCTATTCACTTGCCCCTATCTCAGGCACCAACTTCACTACTGACCACAACCACCACAGCACGACTGTGGAAGCACAGAGTTGAATCCAAAACACCATTACTAATCTGTAACAACAACCAATTTACCGGAGGATGTAAGATGCTCTGTGCAAATCAAAGGTGCACACAGAGCCGATGGCCAGCACATGTGCACATTCTCAGCAACTGTCCAGGTCCTGCCTATTCCAATGCTTAATTTGCTAATAAGCATGCAAAAGCCCAACACCACATTGGGCTCCTGAGCATACTGTGGCCTCGCCATTTCATACATACACTGGCTGGGATGCCCACCGTGTTCACATGGAAGGGACGTCCACTCTTGGTCTTGAGTGCCCGGATGTATGGATGGGGCACTTCGCCGCTAGCACGTTCCCTTGCAACCATCCACCTCACAGCTGCTCTCTATACAACAAAAGCAAAATGTTCACTAACTTCCTGCCAACCAACAGTGCAGGACAGGCGGTTTGCAGGACTTTGGTCCTTCAGCCACTGCCATGTCTAGCTCTAAGGCAGAGCAAACAGGACTCAGAGCCCCAAGGAAATTGAACAGATCTACAACATGTTGGACGTGAGCAACAGAAACACACCTGGTGGGGACACAAGGTCGTCATGAGCTGTGGCACCGCCTCCCCGGCAATGAACCGCAAGTACTGCGAAGTGCTGCTTAGTGCCCTCAGCGAATGGGGATCCAGCAGGGTTGTGATCCTCTGCAGAACAGGTTCTGGAACACTCTCGAGCCATGAACTGCAAAGCCAGCAGACACTTAGCCACCACGCTCTCCCAATTATTTATGCGCTGGTGATGAACGTCTGGATTCATGTTTAGAAAGCTGAAAGGCAAGGCGATGAAACAAGCTCTTACTGGTGGAATCGGCTTCCTTGATGTGTGCAGCTGCCACACCTAAATTTCTGGCCCTTACTTTAATTGTGCTTTTTGACATCTTGTGTTGGTTCTTCCAAGGCATGATGCTTCTCCATGGCCTCAATCAGCGTTGCATTGCTGAAGGTGACAGATTCATGATAGCTTACAACACAAAAGAAGGCACTTCATCAAGGTAATGAACAACAATCATGCAGTGCTGGCTCTGCTTCCAAGACACAGTGCAAACCAAATGACAGCAGCTATGCAGCTTCCAAAGGGGAGTCCATTACCCTTCCGCTTTAATCTTTGCAGTGCCATTCATTTTCTAGCTGTAGCAACATCTCTTCCCTCAGGATGGAGGTGAATGAATATCCTGTCATAATCTCTAAACCAAAAATAACCATCCCCTGCCTCCAGTGTGTGCACTCCCTTGGTGCCTGATCGTGCCCAACGAAGCCCAACTCTCATATCTTCGCATCACAGCTTGAATCTTCCAACACACTGTTCGCACCTGGATGCAGAGTTTCCTCGGTTCTTTCCTGTCTCCCAGCACGTTGGCAATTCGCTCAGGCAAGCAGTTAGCCTGCACAAAAGGTCCTGGGCCAGTCAAAACAACAGAGCTGGAAACAGACTTGAACGGGCAAAGACACAGCCATTCTGTATAACCAAGGAAGATGGAAACACTTGCAAGTACGTATAAACACAACAGTACAGAGGCAGGCATCACCGTTCCATGCTGTTATACCATTGCCATAGCATGCTGCATGCTTTACAGGGACATTGAAGCTGGTGGTGCCATACGCTATGCGTCCAAGGCAGACTAAAAATTAGATTCAAAACATCCTAGTTCTCCTGTGTGTGTTGAACCACGTACGTAAACTCCTGGTGCCCATCATGTGCGCCTGGAGGTGTGGCACCAATAGCATCTTCTGCTTCATCCCAGGCATGCATGCTGCTGAAGACAAATGCACCTGATGTAGTCTTCAACCAGGTGAACTTGCCAGCCCACAAGCTGCCATCCCACAAAGCAAGCCAAGAAATCAGGAACACATCGAGGCAAGTTAACAGCAGGATGTCACCCAAATGGTGCAAGATCACTATGTCATCATATAGCAATGACTTCAACGAGAACTGGAATTCCAAAAATCACTCAAATGACCAACTCAATTTGAAGCCATCCTTCACGGAAGTTCAAATCACTCAAGCGATGTGCTCTGGTGTGATGCCATGCTGCCCTATGTGGGATACATTGAAATTGCCAAATTTGGTTGTTGATCACGACAAACCTTTTGATCTCATCAGCCAAGTATTTAGTCTTTATGCTGGTGCTCATCAGCATTGTTCCGAAAGTGGGGGAAGGCCCATTCAGGGAGCCTCTACCTTGTGGGTGCTGAGATGCAACAGTGGCCTTCAGCATAGTAGGGGGCCGTCATGACACTTAGTGTTCCTTGTACATGGGGGCCAACACTTGTGCAGTATTTTGTACACAGCCCCCTAGGGAAAGAACAACATCAGGCAACATTTCCAGCATGAGAAGATGCACGTCAAGAGATGAGCTACAATGTTTGTGAGACACAGTCCAACTTACAGCAAGGATGATAATCATGAGCTTCAGGAAATTGCCTTGATTGGGTCCATGCCTTCCTCATATAATGAGTTTCTGATTACCAAAACGCCTCACAAGCATCCCAGAATGTACTGCCACAAAGCCTTACAGACATCTTGATATTCCTGCCCACCTTTGACTCACAGAGAGCACTGCCTTGCACACCAAGTCCTCAGCTGTGAGCTCCACAATGCTGGCATTCACAGCCACCAAGTGTGTGTCATGCTGCAGCAACACAAGACATGATTTCATGACACACTTCCAATGTCACACAGCACCCAGCTCCTAGCCAATGTTAGGAGTTATGAGTATACTGGGATCAATTACCCATCGTTGACTTTAGGAAGCATCGCACATGTTCAAAGTGTGTAAATTCCTTCTGCCTACCACATGGAATGCTTTTGATTAATGATCCCGGTTGGGGCACACATGCTATTGCTGCAGTTATGGACACAGATTAACACACTGTGGACAGTGACATGTACATTGCTACAGAGTTGATATTACTGGAAACCTTTTTCTGCATTTCTGCCCCAATGTACCCATGTTTACAGCACTTCATTCCAAGGCAGGACAAATTGGGGGCTCCAGACTTGAACACCAGACACAACAACATCACAGCAAACACCATACTTGCACCTCAACCACACAGAAGTGAGATGCAAACAAAGATCACAAATGACATGCACACATGCGTGCTGTGGGGTGGGGTCCTTTGCCAATCATTGTAGGGTCAGTGTAGACCGCCGGCAAAGGGATGCTATCTGACTATCTGAGTTCAGCAGAGACACGTGACATGACCAGTGTGTCGAATTTTCATGTTGCTTGTAAGGATGTCCATTCATTCATGCACATATACTTAGCGGCAATGGAATGCAGAGGACACAAAATGGGCGAATGTCTGCCAAACATACTTTAGTTTGCAATGAACAGTTGATGCAGTTATTGATTGATATTGTAGCATTGAGCAAAGCATACATAAAATCAACAGCAAAGCAGCAGGGATATTCTTTGCATGGTCCTCTTCTTCAGGACGAGCCACAACTGTTACAAAACTACTGCGCAATGGTACTGCTCCACCCACCTCTTCAGTGTGGTTTCAGGTTTTAGGGAATCGCACAAGCAATCTAGAATAGTGATGAGGACACAACTGAGCCCATCGTTGCCTTTCTGGTGCAAGGGGAGCAATTGTCATATCTTGGCCTTGGAAAAGAATGGATTGTGTCTCTCACCAGTGTGCCCATGGCCTGCAGCAGACTTCTTTTCTCTGTGTCCCCTTCGAGCACCAGGCACCTTGCAGAACAAGCAGCAAATGGCTTCAGCCACTATGACAACAGCGATCCAAGCACCGTGTGCCTTGCATATAAGTTTAGGGGATTTCTTGTTTCATTTCTGGTCAGCCAGTTGCACAGCATGCAGATAGGCTGTGTGAGCCATTCATCTGAGGAAAGACAGTATGGCCATCCATACTTGCCCAATATCTCTTGCATGCAAGGACACTGTCATATTGAAACAGAAGCATAGAAAAGCAGAATACAGCTCGATGGGCACAATCGCAACATTCAAAGTGCAGGGCCACAGCAAATCAGCAGAAATACACGTGAAGCCTGCCCTAGAGGAGCTGCCAACGTACACTATCTTTGCACATGTACAAGTTCTAGAATCGCTCTTGACATGCAGCTCTGGCTTGCTCCATTCTACATTTTCTGGCTATGGTTGAAGTCAACTGCCAAAGATGGGATATGAAATCCAACATAGGGGTATGGCACTTGCATCGCCTTGCATTGTCTTGTGAGGCGGCAAAACCATGCCTTTCTTCCATCACAATGGGGTGTGCCGTCGTTTCTCAAGTGTGCTGCTCATTTGGAGTAAAAGCACACCATAATTGTTCATGAAGAGTTCGGATGCCGGCCCATAGCTGTCACTCCTGCACTTGGCATTGCATCATGTGCACCATTGGAAGATTGGTTGAGATTGATAATTGACAGCAGCAAACTGGAGTGCTTGTGGGCCAAAGCACCAGCTTCATCTGCTGTTTTCATAGTAGCTGACGGTTTGGTTGCTTATGCTGGGTTTATGCAATTTGCACGCCTGGAAATGGGATCATCATCCCACAGCCATATCCTCCTGGGGCTATGTGCACCTGCCATAGTTTTTGTACTTTGGCCACAGTGATACCTTCATCTACCGTTTTAAAGGTTGGTGGGAATTTGGCTGTGTATGGCTGTTGTATGCGTTTTCGCGGAAGTGGGATCAGCAACCCATGCATCTGTCCTTTTTCTCCATATTCCTTGTACTTACTAAGCACACTTACATAGCGCACAGTGAAAAATGATGTGAAGCTATCTTGTGCAACAACAGCTGTGGCCGTCGCACTAAGCATACGAGGTCGGATCTTGCAATGCTTGTGTGTTCCTAGCACTGACAGCACGGACCGTCGCCCTCTGGTCTGATTTCTGCAGACGTCCTTTGATTGCGTCTATCCCAAGGCTACAAAGAGCTGTCCTTGCATCTTTACGGCGACGCCACGAGAGGGTTTCCTCATCGAATGTGATCTCCGCAAACACCATGTCCAAATAAAAATCCAGAATCGCATCCGACGGGTCCGACTGGCAGCTGGGCACGCAATCCGAGGGGAGGGGAGATGCCCGGGAAGAGGCGGCAAACCGGCGCGAAACGGCCCGGCGCGTGGTGGCGCGCATGACCGTCGCTCTACTACTTCGGCGGACGAGAGCGAAGCGTGAAATCCCCCCTCGAGAGGAGGCCTCCGGCTGCCCGACACCCCTGCGGCAAACGCGATGTCCCCATCCCAGCGCCCAAGGTGTCCGCTCCCCAGGGCAAGCCGCCCCATCCTGACAGCCCTCGAGCGCACAGGGGAGGTGGGAGGGGGCATTCCGAGCGCGACCGCCAACAGAAAACGGATTGGCGCGTTGCCCGCCGGGCGCACCCGTCTCCTCGCAGCGCCCATCGCCCTGTGGATGGACCCTCGAGTCGATCCAGCCGCAGGGGCGCGCCCACATGGAGGGGCCCGTTGGACGCGCCGCGCGGGAGCCGCAGCAGGAGGAAGCCCAGGGCCTCCATGGCGGCCAGCCCGAGCCAGAGGGTGGGCGGACGCGTGTGAAGCGGGTGAGCGGGCGATGTGGAGGAAGGTGGTGTTGGGTTTCCCTGTCGCCATGTCAGCCGGTGCCGGTCACTGGCCCGCTGCTTTTTTTGGCTTTTTTTGCTCATTTTCCTGTTGCTTTCTCTGGTTTTCTTTCATTCTACATTGGTTCATGACGCAGGCGCATCACGATCACCATTTTCGCTGACTGAGTGGATGGATGCGACTTGGTGGAGTCACACCGCCAGGTCAGCACCTCCCACCCTGAAGGCACACTTCCCTGTAGTGCCGCAACCCGCCATGCCGGCACATGTCGGGTGCCGGACGCACTTCTGTGCTCGTGGACGGCTGCAGGAAGCCGAATGAGGTCCAGTCACCAAGTCTGGCCTCGCGGTTGCAGCGCAAGACGCCTGCAGCGCAGACTCCCTTCAGACCCTGGAACTTAAGTTGCGCCGCAAGCTTGCTCCCTCGTTCACGCCAAGCAAACACACGCGCACCCCCTTCCTCCAAATGCAGAGGCCGCATTCGGCGCCAACACAATCCGGATCCTGCAGATGCGTGGCGGCGGGCTGCGGAAGCATGTCCCGCTCCTCGCCCGCGCACTGCCAGGCTGCACGTATTTGGCGATCGCTCACTTTCAGGTAAATCCAGGGCGGGCCCATTCTCCCCTTCTGAACAGTTTGTTTCCATACGTGGGCCTCCAAGGCCCGCCCTGCGGGCCCCTCTCAGCGCATCTTTCTACTTCAGCGGCAGTCTCTGGCAGGCGTTGGAAACCGATCCCCAAGGCTGGCACATCGGCGATATGAAGTCCACAACGGGGAGTTCTAGGGAGACCCGTGGGGGAAAGGGACACTGCCCACAGGCACGCGAAACAACCTGATGCCGTCGCCTGCTGCGCGTGTGTCGGCACATGGGCCTCCCAGCCTCCAAACCACATATGTCCAGTGCACATTTCCTGCAAGCGAACCCGATGGGCGGCAGGGGGTGTCGCCCATCGGGTTCACTTGCAGGAAATGTGCACCAGACAGCCCCCTCTGCTTGCGCAGTGGAAGCGTTGGATGCCGTAAGCCCCCACGGCGACCCTTTCTGGCCAACAGGGGTACAAGCCGCGGAGCCCACCAGGGCGCCACACTATTTACTCGCCCCCGCTGTCTGCCCGCGGCCCAGTGATCAGCTCATGAGAAGCTGACGGCAGCCTGTGGTCAGCCACGCAGACCCCTGCCGCCCACTCCTCATCACATTCCGCAGAAAGCCGCAGTGCAGGCCACAGAACACGTGATAAAAACTCCCCTCCCCGCCTGGACTCCCGGTCGCTTCTCGTCCTTCGTTCGAGCTCCGCCCCACGGCCCAGTGCGAGGGCGGGCAGCGTCGGACGTCCTGCGCCGCCGGTGCCATGCCCATCGGCTAGGTCGCCCGGGCTGAGACACCCCAGGCCGGCATCTTCGCTGAGTTGCTGCCGCGAACGCCGGGCGCATCGCGGTGCATGGTTGGGATGGCCGGCGCCTGGGGTGTGCTCGCGGCGGCGCTGCTGCTCTTTCTGGCGCCGACGGGCAGCGGCTCGCCATCGATCCCAGCGGGTGCGTGGGGTTTGGCGGGAAGGCATCTTGATCACTCTCCGAGGGTGTGGCGGTGTGGGGCGCCCCAGGCGGGTGGCGTCACCGGTTCTGACGCTTCCCACCGCTTCCCACCGCCCCTCCGCCCCGCCAGGGCGAGGCGGTTGTGCCAATCAGTGGAGCCGCCGATTGGCTGGATTTCGATCAAGGTTCCCCGGTGGATCCGCGAGTGGTAATGGCGGGCCCCCCAGCGCTGCGAGGGACATGACTGACGAAGCCATTGCCGGTTCGCAGGTGCGGGACGGCGCCCGGAGGGGGGCTTTCAATACAGGCGCCTGCGGCAAGATTTGCAGGTGGGTGGGGACCCCATCTGTGGCGTGCTCCGTGAGGCCGCACCTGTTGTGGCTTCATTAGGCACTGAACCAGATCAGCCGAGTGTTTTTCAATGCCTGAGGTCACCTGACGGCACGCCATGAGGAGTGAGCAGCCATTCCGCAACCAGTGGTGGAGCCGTGCGCCTCTGCGCACTGCAGAGACTGCACATCTTGCTCGACGCGTCTGTTTCCGGAGCGCCCTGGCGATCCGCCTGCTCCCCCCGCGTTTTTCGCCACCTCGCGCCCTACCCTCTGGGTGCAAGATGGATCCTTCGGCGCTTGCTGACCTCAAGGTGCCTGAAAGCCGGCTGAAGCGCCACCGCGCACTCCACCGGCGCACCACGGCAAAATGCCAGATTCCTGCCCTTGCCGCTGGCCGCAAGGTCACCCTCAGCGTGGCTACTCCTCCGCAGGCGTCACAGGGAACCACTGGCGAGGATGCCAATGCGGATACGGGGCCGATGGCGGGGCTGGGGCACGCTGCTCCCAGCGGCATCGAGTACGTGGTGTCTGTCGAGAGGCCATGTTACCCAGGTCAGCACTTGTGCAGCGGGGCGCTGATCGACCCGATGTGGGTGCTCACCGCAGCGAGCTGCCTCCACAACCGCCAGGAGCACCTCGACGACCACTTTGGCAGCGTCCCCTTGGCCGTGCGCGCCGTGGACCCGAGAACAGCCGCACAGGAGGTATTCGGGGCTCGGGGAGGGGATTGGCCTGAGGAACTGAACGGCAGATGGCCGGTCAGTTTGGTACTGTCGTGGTGTGTTGCTGTTGTTGCAGTCGGAGGTGCGAGCGTGGCCTGTCACGTGGCAAAATGTCTTACTTGTTTCCTCGGCAGGTCCGCAGGACGGCGCAGTTCCCTTGCCACTGAAAGTCAACCATCGTCACGGAATTGACCACAGGCTTTGGATTTTCTTGCGCTGGCTGGCTGGGGCAGCGTGCTTACTTGCTGCTTTAGGGCTCTTGTGTGCGCAGAGTCTGAAGAACCGCAGGTGCAGGCGGGGTTGGACAGTGTATGACACGTGTGCTTCTCACTTCCAGCATAGCTCTTGCAACGATGAGGCAGCCACGCTTGTTGAGAGACCTGCACGAGTGGGTTCGTGAATGTTCTTTCTACATTTTTGAGTGGAAGCCAACTGCATGCCCCAAATTGTGTGTTAGGATGCTGTGCTCGCTTCTTGCACAGTGGCACACATGTATGCTTGCGGAACTGTTGCAGATCTGCACTCTCCAATACGTTGGAGCCCTTTTGAATATTGAGGCTATTTGGGGGGCATTGAGGCAGGCTTTCTGGCAACCTTGACAACTCGTGTCCATGGAAGCCAGAAGGTTGGGCGGGCAGCAGCAGTGGGCCAACGTGTCCTTGAGAAACCATTGCTGCGGCACCCTGAGGAGAAAGGATATGTGTGCATGACCTGTGCTCATGGCTGTGCCACAGGTGGTGCCAGTCCATGAGCAGATTTTCCGCCCAGATTGGAATGGGAAGCGGGCGGATGGGAATGACATTGCACTGCTGAAGCTTGAAAGCCCCTTGGGGAGCGCATTCCGTTCCATCCCTGTGGCAGATGAGGGGATCGATGTGCTTGGTGGCCCGCTGCTGGAGATTTTGAAATACTCTGGGCAAGGTGTTGAACGTGTGCCAGACGTGGGCATTGTGCCTAATGAAGGGTGTAATCGGCTGAGGCAGGAAAAGCAATTGAGCCCAGTAACCGAAGACATGACTTGCAGCTATGCCTTTGGGCTAAACACCACTGCAGGTCAGTTGCTGAGGGATCGGCATGTATGGTTAACCAGTGCGATTTGCAGCAATGATGTGAGGCTGGGCTCACGAGAGGCCATGATGATGTACAGCCTGGTTGCACTCCTGGGTCTCATGCATGGTTGACCTTACTGCCCAACTCCTATTGTGTGGGGATGTCATCAATTTGGAAATCTTCTGTACCAATGGTTGCAGTGCTTTCCCTCAGCGATTATTTACCAGTGGATTTCAAAGGGATGTGATACTTGCTGCAAAAAGCAGGTCAAGGGCACGAATCAACAGGTGTGGCCTGCAAGGCCATCAGACAGCTGTGTAGTAAGAACAGAAACAGCAGCTACAGAAATGAAAAGGACGATCCTATGCTGTGTCTAGCGTGTTCATGTGCTGATGCCAGTGGCTAATTGCTTCAGGTCTGAATGGCGGCCTACTGGTCTTCATGAATGTTTCCAACACTACCCAATCGAATGAGGAGGGCCCAAGGCCTGGATCCTTGATGGGCGTAGCATCATTTGACAGGAGCAACCGCCTGCGCAGCAGGGATCTGCCAATTGTGTTCGCAAATGTGGCACATTTCAGCAAATGGATTCACAGTGAAATGGCCAATGGATCAGCCACTGAACCCTCAGCAGGATCACTAGAGGCAGATGACATGGCAAGAAATTCCTCTGCTGCTTGTTCTTCACAGGACATACCGGTACGTATCCTGCAAACACACAAACACCACAGTCAGCTTTCATTGTTCACATACAGGCTACCAAAGTGCGTCTGTTCATGCTCTTACATTTCTATGTACTCCATCCGTTGCAATCAAAGCTTATTGGATTATTTCCTGCAGTGCCCAGTATTTGTACAGTATCAGGCCCAGTGTATGACATATGTTGCCCTTGTAGAGACTCATCAGCAAATCAAAGAGGCAAATAAAAAGGGGTGATGGCACCTCACACCTGCTGTTCTGCTGCTGAACCAAATTTCTTACACCTGGTTGGTTTAGGTTGTCCTTTTGTGCAAAGTACTGTGAGTTTCCTACAGAACAGCACAAACTGCTGCTGTTTGATGATCTGAACTCAATGGAAGCCCTTGCCACATCATGTTTGTTGTTAATCATGTTGGCAGAATGGATTTACTCACTCAAGTATAGCAAGAAAGTCATGTACCTCTTGGCGCTGAGTGGGCTTCCTTTAGGAGTGCTTGCAGTCATCTTTAGGAATGTATATGAAAACTGTGGTTATACTCCAACCTGCGATCGCACGGTCACTGTAGTAGTGGGACCCCTGGCATCTCTGCCACCGCATGAGCCATGCGATTGCAGGTTGACATGTGCGCCAATATTGTAACCTGCAGTCGCTTTAATAAGGGTAGTACTGCATGAGCAAACAGGCCAGCTGTCACAGCAAACCTGGGGGTGGTGGTGGTGGTAGCCAGCCACATCACCTAATCAGGGGCTGATGCGTGAAATGTGATCGCAAGGAGTGCGATCGCAGGATGCTGTGCAGTCGCAGTTCCATATGGCATGGTGTAATATATACCCTTGTGCATTTTAATGTGACGTTGGCCTTTCCATGCGAAGCAATAGTACAAAAAACAATGGTGCCAAGAAAATATGGAGCAGCCCAAGCCACAACGAAAGGGTCTCTGGACTGCTCGCGGCATCTAGCAGCCCAGATGCACGATCGCTGTGGCGGAAGACTGGCTGTTAGGGCCCTGCGAACTCAGCGGAGTCGCTATTGCGGCTGCGACCATGACGCAGAGCCCCCCAATAACGGCCTGTCAACAAACTGAAGAGCGACAATAGTAACGCTGAGAAATATAAATGCAGCAGAGTTGAATGCACTGCGGTGGTTGTACAGAATGGCAGTGAATTGTGCTGCTGCACAGGCCTTTTAGCTCATTTTGGGGCGCTGCAGCATTGGCTATGTCAACAGATCCTTGTGTTTAGTTCTTGTGCACAAAAATTGGCAGTTCATACACGACGTCAATTGAAATGTGATGGAAGTGGGCTTTGATCGAGAGCAGATTCGATGCCCAAACGTTGAACTGAGGCTGCAGCCCTGTCTTTTGAGTTGGTGCTTCAATGTGGACACCACTTCAATTTCTCAGACAAGTTGAACAATTGGCTACAGCAGCACGAATGCTGTTGTCCTCTACAGAGCACAGCATCACAGTGGCAGTAGTTCCATGGACTACACTTTGTCAAAAATACATACTTTGTCAAAAAGCCATGGCGAACAATGCCCTTACCTTTCTGGCGATGACTACCATAGAAGCAACCTGGTGGTGTTTATCAAAACCCCAGATCGTTGTTCTCCAGACAGCAAATTGGCAGAATATGAAATAGCTGGCTGAAAATGGCAAGGAACTCGGCTGGAACCAGGCCAGGAGGTAAGCGAAATGTGGAGAGCATGAAAAGCTCTCCTGTGCAGGCTGTCCAGCAAAGTAGCCAAGTGGCGCATAAACTTCCAGAAAAAAAATGAAATGGGAGCAAGGTCCAATGGCTGAGCTAATGGAGAATGGATAAACTTGGCCCCTCCGTGCATGGCCTTATCCTTGGGCCCCACGGTTCATTCTATAGTTGCCAAATTGCAACATTGCTTTCTGCTGATTGTGTCCCTTGCACACTGGCGTCGGGCCGTTTAGCATTCCTCGGCAGTTTAGCATGCCTGTTGTATTCTGCCTGTAGCCTGTGCCTGCCAGTTGGCAGTTTGACTGGAAGGTGCTGTGACATTTTTGGCCCATTTGTTGCTCCAAGGGAAGTGGAGAGGCCTCACCTGGTCGGTTTCCCTACGTAGTGTCTCTGAGAAACAATGTGTCAAGGCTACATTTCTGTGTCGGAACACTTGTGGATCCCCTGTGGGTTCTGATGCCAGCGCACTGCTTGGACGGCAACAACACGGGCCAAACTCCGCTGGCCTTTGTTGGGGCAAGAAATACAATGGATGAAAGTGGCGAGGTGAGCATGTGGGGTGGTGTGAAGCTTGGAAGGAGCGTTTGCACACTGGAGAACTGTCCCTCTTATGTTCATTTTAATATAGAAATGGTTTTGTCTGACGCTGATGTGCTACTGTCCAATGCACACTGTGGCACTGCGCATCCTGTCCCAGCCACTCAACTGCCTGGGCAACAGAAAAAATATGAAAGCAAATGGAATGGGACAGGGCGTATGCCCTGCACATGTCGAACACAATGATTAGATGAAGATGATTAGATATGCGAAAGTGCAGTCACAAAGATTTCTTTGTGTGCAGTGCCATGCATCTGCACAAATAACCCCATACCCACAGTGTGTTGGTTCCCTGCCTGTGTTAATTCCAGGAGCGAATTGCCAGCAGAATCGTGGTGCACCCATCCTGGGTGCCGGCAACCAGAAGTGGGCCAGATGTGGCAATGGTAAGGCTGGAGAAACCAGTGGACAATGTTTCCATCCCCAGGCTGGCCGATTCAACTGTAGTGCTCCCGCCCCTGCTATCTGTGGTGGGTTGGCCAGGGGAGAACAGCACATCCATGGTGGCAGGGAGCCTGCATTATGCCGATGTTATACCTGTGTCAAAGGAGGTGTGTGCGGAATTCTATGCTGAAGACAGGCTGGGTTCGGTGGTGTGTGCGGTTGGCGTGAAGCTGGATGTATGTGAAGGTGCGATCTTCTTCTGAACCAAGAGGGAATCCTATGGCTGCATTTTTACAAATCGGTATCTGCATGGACAAAACAATGTCCTTACACCCGGCAGGTGATATCCCCAACTGTATCTGGTGCACTCCATGATCAGCTCGCAGTTGTTGTTCCCAAAACTGCAGTATCGCGTTGGGTTTGGGCTGATCATTCTGACTGTGTTGCAGTTGAATTGGGATCTTCTACTTCAAGAGCTCCTATCCGCTGCTATTCAGGACTTTAGTACATTGTGACATTCGTATTGTGCAGTTTCTCGTCTCAGCTGCTGTAATCGTTTGAAATTGCCTTGCCTTGCACCTTGCAGACGATGACGGCAGTGTGTACATGCATGCACGTTCTGATCTCCCTGCATCCATTCATTTATCCTCTCGCCATCCATGTGGTCAGACATTGCTATGTGATTGATGTCCTGAGCCTGGTGAATTGGCTGGTCCAGCTTCTGTTGGTGACAAATCCCATGCAATAGCCAACCCAATCTGTACTGGGTGAAAAAATCCATATAAAGTCCAAACCCATTCAGTCCAGTCCAATCTGGGTGCTGACTCATCTTCTCAGCTGTGGCCACCTAAATGGAGTGAATGTCATATTTTGCCAGAAACACGGTACAGCCCATACGAAGCATTGCCCTGTTGGATGCATTTTGGCCCTGGTCGAGCTGTCCATGACGTATTTAGAAGCTGGCATCAAAGCACATCGTCCTTGCCTTGCCCTGCATGATTCGAGCACATTTTGTCTTTAATGTGGTTTGTACTACACTGGCAAACCCGACTCTGTATGCAATGAAAGCTTTAGTGACGCCCTGCTGGATCATGGGCCTCTATGCTCAGAGATTCTCGGATCGCCTTCTGTTAGGCAGCCATTTTTCTCTCGTTTCAAAATTTTTCCAATTTTGCAGAGAAACAGCAATGTGCAAGGTGCACTGCTGTTGCAGTTGCCATCCAATAGCTGCTGCGAATGGCACTTGTTTGGTGGGTGCTTCTTCAATGCGTACTGCATGTTGTTGGCACCTTTTGATCTTTGGTGAATTTGAAGTTTGTTACATTATCTAAAGGTGGCAAAGCGCAACCCAAGGACCTGCAACTTTGAATATGTTGGGGGGAATTTGTGGATTTGTAGGCTACTCTGGTGGTCCTCTGCTGCTGCCCAGCGCCCCCCATGACGCTGTTATTGATGGACAGCCAAAAGATGACGAAGTTGTGGGCATAGTGTCATTTGGTCCAGACCCCTGCACTGAGGCCCAAGTGCCCATCGTGTTCACGAACATCGGTGAAGGTGATGTCCTTGCTTGGATTGACAGCAGGCTCAAAGCAGCAGATCACCCGGTAGGTGAGCATGAATGCGAAAGGCAAAGTATGTCCAGTGGCAGCAGGTGTGAGTGGTCCCAGTTCATTGCATATGAAGTGCAACCACAAAATCAATAGTCCACAAGAATAATCTTCATGGGTGGCAGTAGTATTTGCATTATTGTCAGCAGTCTCAGACAACAAGAGAGATGGAGATGCCAGATAGGTGTCTTTACTTTTTCAGAATATTACTTCCTCCATCCGGAATTAAACGAAACAGTTTGTTGACTGACCGCATTCTATATTCTACTTTTTATTTTTCCTTCAGAATTGGGCCAGCGTATCTACTATGTGTTTAGTCGATCCTGTCAAAGAAAACTATTGACAGACATTAGCATTCAGGCATATGGTAGTACTTTGAAGCCAAGCGACTCAACACCAGAATTTGAACATTCGCAGCAGTTCCCCACCCCACCAAAACCTGGCGCCCAAGACCCAGGAAGGCCTGGTGCTTGAGTGATGCCCTCTCCAGTGGTCTTCACACTATGGGAAGGGGGGAGTTGCCTCAGCGCTAGGGCTCTAGCCCAAAGATCGACACCCTTTGCAAAGCACGATTGACAGAATTGGCGCCCATGTCTGTGTACCGCCATTGATGGATGCTCGAAATCCCCCCCATCTTCCACAACAGCACACCGACATGCCTGGGATCCCCCACTGCCTAGAGGTCTCCTGATGGCTAAAGACTAGCCTCGGGATATTTTCGTGCAACGTAAGCTCTGTGTTCAGCACAGATCTCCGATTGAGTGCCTGCCTGATGCAAGCAACCCCTCTTTCCAAATTGGCTTCAACCCCTCCAAACATGACAATGGAGGGTTTGGATGCTCTATCGGAGACCCCACATGTCGCTGTGGTGGCGTTCTTACGTCTTGCAATGGCACGGGCGAAGCTCCGTTGCAGCGGCGCCCTTGAAAGCGGCGTGAATGGCACGCAAAGTGTTCCACGCGGCACGTGCCCACCACAGCCAGTTTCAACGATCTTCTGGCTGCCACGCAGCGAGGGCACGATCACATTCTTCCAAACCTTTCGTGGTGGTCTCAGCACCCATGGCGTCGTCGCCATTGGTAGGGGCCCTTTTTGCAAACGCTGCGATTGTGAGGTTCGCAGATTTTTGGGTCTCCGATCAGGAGCTGCTGTCCTCCTCAGGCCATCAAAACCATGGTGGCGATCAAGGATCGAGCGGTACAGAACCCGGTTTCGTGGTCTTCCCCCTTTAGTAGGAACGGTGTCGACCTGCTGCCAAGGCGGCAACAACAGATATCCACTGTGGGTTGCGCACCATCAGTCGCAAGGCGACCTGGTCAAGGACCCATTTGGGGGGCTGTTCGGCCAGACCTTGAGAAACCTCGGCTTTTTTGGCCTGAATCACAAAGGTACAAAGTACTGCCATGTGGCCGGTACTTATCCATTGTCCACAAAAATTGGCATTACACAGCAAATGTATAGGTAGTGCCTTGTTCCAATTCTGAAGGAAAACTAACAAGTTCGTGATACAAATATAGCCTCTTAACAAGCTGTTTCATTTATTTTTCCTGATGGAGGAAGTACAAGGGGAAGGGGGGTGGGGTGGGGGGGCAATCTGTATTGCACAAGCTTTTCTGCCTTTCGTGCTTCAATGTCTGATATGTTGCTGATGTTGGAGTCACTGAACACCTTTTGAGGTCGCAGGTATGGACTTGTGAATGAGTTGCTTTATGTTTGATTTTGTGGATTGCATTTGCCAACTGTGCATAGCACGCCCAAACATGTGTTGTCATCTCTGTTGCTCTTTCTCTTTTGTACCAGGATTATTGTGTGAATATGAATGGCCTTGTGTGTGGCGGTTTGGAACATAAATAGATACGTGTCCAGCAAATGCCACCTCCTAAATATACAATGTCCAGCCAATGTCACTTCATAAACTTTTTCAGCTGTGCACATATCCTTGGTTATACATTAACTCTGATTTCTCATCTGCCACTGTGCTGTAGACTCTCTCACCTGATGAGCAGAACCCCCTGGATGAGGTGAGGTACATGCATTCCCTTTCCTGTCCAATAAATGCAGAGCGTTTTCCTTGGTTTTGGGCTCACTGGCAGTGCTGAGGCCATGTTTCTGCTCTTCAAATGCTGAACATGGAGGCAAGAAAGAAAGTGCTGTACAGGAGTCACCCAGTGTTGGGGCTCACTGCGATGTTGGCCCCTGCTTGAGTCTGTTTCATACAATCACCATACTGTAGTAATGTGCCTGCACCACTTTTCAAGAGTGAGAACCAAACTACTATAAGAACAAGTGCGGTGATTTGCTATGCTTCGATTCTGCTGTCCGGTTTTGGCCTGCTCAGTTAATCTCATCGACTGCCACCCTCCATTGCCCAGGAACTGCTCCTCCTTGCAAGGAGCAAAGAAAATTCAACAACACAGAGCATGGTAGACAGCCTGCTCAACAATGGTGCAGATCCTAATGCAGGGAATGCAGATGGTGTCAAGATTCTGCATGAGGCTGCAGCCTCTGACAACCTCATTGTCGCAGAGGCCGTATTGGCTGCAGGGGCGTTGGTTGATGTGTGGACGATACACACAAGGGAAGGTGCGCTACACATAGCAGCTAATAAGAACTCAACAAGGGTGGCCAGAGCGCTGATTAATGCTGGAGCAGCTGTCAACTTGCTGACCCAAGATGGCAAAACCCCCCTGCATTTCGCCACTGAAAAAGGTCATTCGCTGATGACTGATCTGCTGCTGGTTGGGGGGGCAGATTGGGCTGTGCGCACTGTTATACGTGCCCAGACTGCATTGCACCTTGCTGCAAATAGAAATGCTCCCATTGTGGCCCTGCTCCTGATCAGGGCAGGAGCAGACGTCAATGCCCTGAATGACGAGTGGCAGACACCTCTGCACATCGCGGCTGTGAATGGACAGATTGGTGTCGCGGCTGTTTTGATGATGGCTGGTGCCAATCAGTCTGCTGTGGATAAGTACGGTAGCATGCCCAAGGACATTATATGTGATGATGACTTCGCCCCTGAGATGTGCAAGGATGAAGATCGCAGAAGGCTGATGGAGCTGCTCATTCCAGTTGAGGTAGGCAAAGACAGCAGTCTAAGAATTTACCAGGAGGAATAGTGAGGAAGAGATAATGAGGTGTGTGCTCATTTCTTGGTGATGTGTGAATGGAGCATGAATGCCATCTGCCCCTTGCTTTTGGCGCCTGAAATCTGCCTTTGTGTCTTACCTGGATGGAGTCTTTGGAGTTTCGACTTGGCCAAAGTAGCCTACACAATTGGACAAGAAAAGCCTTCTTCATGCTCAGATGGGGTTTCAGACTGCACACTTTGTGCATTGTTTCAATGCAATGTCACCATAAACTGTCTGTCACTGTGAAGTTGTTTTCCCAAGATGTTCATGCAGTCGAAGTAAACAAGTGGAAATACTATCAATAATGCGCACTTGTTGCAGGAAATTTTTTGGCATCTCTTTCTATTCTCCTGACCTAGTTTGGTTTTCATCCATTTGAGGGTGAGCTGGGGCTCGGTGACGATGGGTTCTCCTATGAGGAAACCACCCGTTGCATGCTGCTTGTATGCAAGATTACAGGCTCCAGTATGTTGCTTATACTACAGTTATTTTGGTAGATTGGTTTCAGAGCTACCGGTACATTGATGAAAAAGACTGATACAGTGTTCTAGCCCACTGTCAGATGCCCTGTTTGACTGTTGATCATATGTGCTGTGTTGCAGCCCCCCAAGGCAGAAGATGATGAAGAGGTGGGTGTGCAACCCCACCCTGATAGCGGTGACAGATGAATAATTCTTGGACAAAAAATCGTAGCTGTCTGGTATCTCTGCGTATGATTGGTGTCACTGCCACATGCAACGTGCAGCGTCCATGTACTTCTACAATGTGGATGTTCATCCAGTGCACTGATGTGTTGCCATCATTGTGGATACAAGTCAGTGTGCCAGGGCCAACCTGCTTCTCTTGTTGTGCAGAGGTTCTGAACCTGTCAGTGTCTATTCGGTGCACCCAAATTCTAGTTGCTGGGCATAGACAGCAAGACACAGATTTGCAGAAGTAACTAAAGTAAGCAAGAGGTACAAAAGGCCACGTTTCTTTCCTTTAACCTGTGTTGCCAGGACTGGCAATGTTTCGTCCATTGCAAACATTTTCAATTGTTGTCTTGTGGCAGTGTTATGATTGGTGCAAAGGTCAGTGTGGCAAAGTTTGTGTATCACAGAATGCCATCAACAGCATCATGCATCAGATGTGGAAATGACAGCATTGTGTTACCAATTATTTGTGCACGAAATGCACCATTGCCCAACTTACCCCAGCTTCATTTTTCCCAAGTCTTCCTTTTTGGGTGGAGCCCATCCATTTCTGGCCAATTATGACCCTCCACCATGATGATCTTCATCCTTGCTGGGCAGATAAAATTTCGTGTTTCTTGGGCGATTCTGTTGGATGCTGTAGACTTTTGGTTGTCAGTGTGCTGGAAAGAACCCCGACAGTCTGTTTGCACAGATCTCACCTGCCACAGTGTCAATTATTTTCTGTGAGTTGTGCTTCTTTGTGGTGTCATATTATGTATGGACAAGCTTGTGCAGCGTGTTGGTCTGTGTGACGTTCAACATTCTGTTGCTCAGCACCCAATTGTCATAAATTCCAATGTAACTCGTCGTAATGTGCTATCGGGTCAGGCTTTGCTGCAGCTGGCTGGCACCCCAGCCTCAAATTCGTCTGCACAGGGCGCCAATGCGCTCCTTGACAAAGGAGTAAACGCCAATGCCTGCTGCAACACATTCAACGGCACAGCTCTGCATGAAGCCGCTCGTTCCAACAACGCCCCCGTTGCCCAGGCACTGATAGCTGCTGGTGCAGATATCGATGCGATGGATGCCCCATTCCAAAACACCCCACTGCACGACTGTGCACGCTGGAACTCGTCTGAAGTGCTGGAGGCTCTGATCAAAGCCGGTGCAGGTTTGAATGCTGCGAATGTTCTGGGAGAGACGCCCTTGCATGTGGCAGCAATGTGGGGGAGCACAGAGGTGGCCGATCTGCTGATCGCCAACAAGGCCCTTGTCAATGTGAGCGACAGCACGGGTGAGCATCCACTGCACAGTGCGGCACATGGCAATTCCAGGGGCGTTGCTGCACTGCTCATCGAGGGAGGAGCGAAGCTCAATGCACAGAATTTCCATGGTGACACGCCTCTGCACCTTGCTGCGGCATATGGGAGGCTGGGGTTGGCACAAATGCTAATGGAGTCTGGTGCCAACGCCTCGCTGGAGAACTTCAATGGTTTGACACCCTTTGATGTTGCTTGTCAAAGAGAGCGTGAACTATGCAATGGAAACCAAGATGTGGAACCAGCACTGAAAACGTTACTGGACCAGGTAAGTTGCCAACCCTAGATTGACTTTGCAAAATCATAGAATGGTGTCTATGAACTGATATTTTGCATTTGGGGGGCCCAGGCTGTGGCTAGACTCTTCTGTTTGCTGCATCCCATATCAAGACTGTGAGAGACACGTTACTTTCAATTTTCACTGGTGGCATGTCATCTTCAGTAATGCTGAACAGGGCAGATTTTCAGCATGTGCTTGGCAAGCCGGTATATGGACTGGCTAACAAACTAGCAGTAACATTACCGTTGTGGTTGTAGCTCTAGCTGGTGCCTTTTTAATCAGTAACTGTTGCAGTGCTGATCATCGCAGTGTTGCATCATGGAGACTGCAGCAGTTCAAATCAGTTGGATGTCGCCACCGTTTGTGCCATACTCTCTTGATGGTATTAACATGCAGTTGCTCAAGAGGGCGACTACCTGGTCTCTAAGAGTGCTGCCTGTTGCTTTTCAACACTGACAGGCCGAGGATGAGGGGCCCACACCCCCAAGCTACTCGTATGTTGCTGCCATCAGGAATGGCTCAGGGGCCCATCAATGCACTGGCATTCTGGTGAAGGAGAATTGGGTCTTGACCTCAGCATCATGTGGGGAATTGGGAGCCCCTGACGGACAGTTGGGTGACTTCTTTGGAGCAAGCGTGTTCCTTGGAGTTGGAAGCAATATTGATAATGGAACCGAGGTATGTCAACTGTGTGTTGCATGAGCAGAAACTTGTGACGATGAATCAAAAGTTAGAGATGGTTTTCACTTTCTGCAGTCCTGGAATTTTGCAAGAGAACTCTGAACACGGGGGTGGGTGGGCGGCGGCTCGGGGCGGCTCCGGGCGGCTCAGGACAGCTGACCTTGGTCCCTATGAAGGTGCTTGCTGCCACATTGCTCTTGACGACAAGGATAGCAGAGCTGATGATATGTTGACTGAGAATGGCAGCCGGTTGGTTGCACTGGTAGTTTGTTTGGATTGGTCTGGTTGTGATGTGGAGAATGTTTGTGTGTGCTGAAGATGATGTGCACAGACATGTAGCCCTGTGGGCTACGGGGCTGCGGCCAGGAGCAAAGTGAGGAATAAGCGATGATCGGGTTCAGCTACAGATATGGGCAACTGAACATGCACAACAGGCTTAGATGAATAGATAAGGAGTAGGTGAAAATAATCAGACCTATGGGGAAGAAAGGGAGAACTCAGCCGGACAGCAGATGAGCAATGCACAGCTGCAGAAAAGTAACTGCAGTTTGGCTGTGTTTTGTGGTACAGAATGGCACTGACAGATAGGTTCCCTTTGGCCATGTTCATGTCGTTGCCATTTTGTGCAGTTTTATGATGAATGCTTGCATGAAAGGCAACAATGTTGATATCATATGCAGGTGATGGCACCCCTGAGCATCAAATGGCAGAACAAAAGTGGTGACACCCCTGCTTTGGCACTGATCGAGCTGCCGACCCCTTCAAACCATGACCCCGTTCAGCTGGCGACCCGGCTGGGCCCAGGAGGGGATTTGATTCAAGATCTTGCGTTGGCGTCAGGCTTGGGATTGACAGCTCAGAGCGGAGGGGATCTTCCGCAGGCCGCCCAATTGGCATTCTGGCCAAATGCGAACTGCAATGCAAGCTGGCCGTGGAATGTGGAACCAAACATGTGGTGTGCATATGGCTTGGCGAAGGAGTGCAGCAATGTTTCAGGTATGCATCAATTGGTACTTTTAGCAGCCTGTGCTGACTGCAAACTAGCCTGTGTTTGGGCTGAGGGGCCACGGACAGGTAAAGTGAGTCAACAAAACACGGCTTTGTATTTTTGCTGCGGGCTTTTGGTTTCCATCTGTGCTTGCTGTTGCATGTCTTCTGCATGAAGTGATTGCATGCTTTGCATGATAGCCCAGAGTGAGTTTCAATTGAGTTGGCGGGCCCTTGTCTAGGTGCATAAAGTTCAAGTGACGGAAGTGGAATTTTGTACACCATTTTAATGCTTCAATTGTACATCCTGTTGTAGTATGGTCAAGGCCTGCTGCCCAGAATTGTCATCGATTGGCGCTGACAGTCTAACAATGACCATTTGTGACTTGTTGAGACACCATTGTCTACTGGGCAAAACCGTTTTCCGCAGTGATGAAATGACCTGAGTGCTTGCACTGAGTTGGCATGCGGATTGCCTGTGTGTCAGATATCGGAACCCCCCTCATCACAGCAACTGACAGTACTAAGCCGCCCACACAGCCTGTTCTGCTGGGAATGATGTTGGAAGGCGAGCTGTGCCTCAAGAATATGTCAAGGCCTGCTGTGTTTGCAAACGTGACGGCAGAAGAGACTGCTTGCTGGATAAGCGAAACCATACAGGTAGGCTTCACTGTATTCATTTCATTGCCCAAGCTAGCTTCTTTCAATCATGGTCCCGCGTGGGCCACCAGCAGCTTTTGGCATTGTTTTGAGCTCCACAGTTAGCTTCAATGAACATCTGTTTTCCTATTATCCCACAAGGCCCAGCCTGAATTTGCACATTTGTTATGTGGTGCATTGCTTCCTGATAGTGCTCTGCTGAATCCTGACCCAGTAGCAAGCAGGCCTCTCACTAGCTGGCTAGCTTGTACCACAGGTGTTGGGATTTAGTCACTATTGTCCAACAGGACAAGTTCATCCATCGAGCAAACCATCCAATGTTAAAGATGATGATTAACTCTAGATCGTGATTAGCACTCCATTTCTACAGCTTAGGAAAAAACTGTTGTCTTTAGCTTTTCTGCATCAGGAGCTATCAATGGCTTGCGGAAACAGGCAAAGAGTGGTAGTTCACCTTGCTGGATGGCTTGTGCTTCCCTGTCAGGAGACTTGCTAATTTTTGTTATGATACACTGGAGGGGAATGACAAAATCCAGCAATCATATCGCCTGCATTCCACACATTTTTGGTGTTCCCATGGAGTGGCAGTGCCCTGATTGTAATAGACCTGGGAGAAATTTCCCAGGATTGGCACCAGCAAACCAACAAACTGATATTGTTGTTCTTCTGTGCCAATCGTTTCCATATGCAGTTGTGTGGGTATCGGCAACCCAAGCTTTTGAAATACCAACATCTGAGTGGCTTGGACTTGTGATGTCCCTTCAGGATTTGCTGCCTGACTTCTGCATCTTCAGGACGGCATCGAGCAATGCCACCACTCTGAAGTCAGAAGGCATCGCAGCCATCATTGCCTCTTTGGTGATAGTCACAGCCAGCATCCTTGTGCTTGTGTTGTACTGGACCAAGCGTGGTAGAAAAGGGAATGGCCCACAGGACTCAAAGGATAAGAAGTTGATTGAACCCGGGCGTGAGTACTCCCCCACGAGTTCGGGACAGCTGAATGATGACATCTTCAATGGCAGCCCCTGGGACAACATGCGCCCCATCCAGAATGTCTCCCCATGGGATACTGGCTCAGGCATTGGTGCCAACTTGTGGTCATCCAGCCCTGGCACTATCAAGACACTGCCAGACGACCTGGAAGTGGAGCTGCTTGGCAAGGACGTGGGGAAGGGAGCATTCTCAAGGGTGGAGGAAGGCCTCCTCAGGGACGCCAACGGGATGCAAGTCAAGGTCGTGGTCAAACGGCTGGGCGAGTGGTGCTTCGACGCAGTTGACCGGGCTGTTAGCGCCTTAAGAAACGAGCTGGAAGTACTGGAGAGGGTGTCTTCTCACCCCAACATTATCAAATGCTATGGGGGCAACCTGCAGTATGCAGAGCCCCTGCAGGAGGGCGTGCCGGACGTGTACATAGTGGAGGAGCTGATGGACTCCAACCTCAGCACACTGATTCATGGGAATGGAGGCAGCGTGAATGGCTCCAGTCGCAAGGGCCCCGATCTGGTGTTCTCCCACCTTCTGAAGATCTTTAGTGGGATCGTGGCAGGCCTGGAGCATTTGCATGACAACAATGTTGTGCACTATGACCTGAAGCCAGCAAATGTGCTATTGGACAGGTGTGTACTGGACTTTGGGCCATGCAGCCTTGGTGCATTGTGGCAGTGTGGTGTGGTGGCACTGCGTGCCCCTCCAGTTGTGTTCTATTTACAATGAGCTGGCAGATTGTTGATGAATGCATTGGCGTGTCAGCAGACGTGTATGCAATGTTCTCAAGTCAGGTACGTTCAATGTTCTTAAGCAAGCCGTGCTGTATGTGAGTTGTGCATCGTCACTCCTCCCGAATGGAATGCTCAAGGCTCTCATCCAAACTGCCACTGCTGTGAAGTGCGTGAGGGCGGCATGGAAAGCATGCCACAGTGACTGCACAATAGCAAGGAACCTTTTCCGCTCATTTGGAAAATGGGCAGGCGTTGCTTGTTGTCGCTGGAAGTCAGCTTGGAAACAAAAAGGGGCCCTGTAACTGCCCCTCACAGTGGTGAATATTTCTTTTTGCGACAGTGGACTTTTCTTGAGACAGTGGCAAACTGCTCTTTTTTGTGACAGTGGAAAAGAGAACAATTTTACTGTCGCAAAAGAAAGTAGGAACCCCTCATGGGCAGCTGCGATTGTTTTAAGTGTCAAATTCTGTACCATCAGATGCAGCATCAACAAAGGAATGAATTAGAAGGAGGGTTCTGAGTGACGAATAACTGGTCAAGTTGCAACAAAAGTGCATGGACTACTCTCAGGTCCAGCAGCAAGGAAGGGGATATTGAGACCAATCACTGGTGAAGATGTCTCCCAAAATGAGGTTTAGAATATATGATAGGGTCCCGCTCTGCTTTGAAGCAAATCAACACGGACATTGAGTACACAGTTCCCATCGCTTTAACACCAAGCTGTGCAAAAGTTTGGTACTCTGTAAAGTGGGGTGCTCTTTGCCAGCGAATGCTGTCTTCTGTGTTCTGATCTCTTTCTTCAAGGTGCTCTGCTGCAGTAGGAGGAATCTGGGGCAGCCTTGTTTATCTTTGGCCAGTCACATCACCTATCACATTGCCTTTAGCCGTCAGTTGGAGTGAATGGGCAGCGCCTTGCATCTGTATCAGCCTTGTTGCAGCGCTGTGCTCAAAAAACGGTCGACATGTGTTGGAAGTGCACATAATTTTCCCTGTCAAACTGGCAGGTTGGTGCCCTAAAGGCGCCAACGGAAAGTTTCCGTTGCCATCGGTGAGACACCACTTTTATTGTTCAGAGACTTCTGCATCAATGATTGTGGCAAGCTAAAGACTGGCCCCATTGCCACAAATGTAAACGTAGACTGACAGAGAAATCAGCATGTTATGAACCAATGCATGGGGTATTACCGGCTTGCTTGCTGAGCGTGGGGCAGGGTGTCCGCAGTTTGAGTGTGCAGAGGCTTCCATTCTGTTGAAGATCATATCATGCCCATTGCTTGAGCGATTCCTCCCTTTCTGCAGACTCATGTTACACAAGGTGCAAGACCATGGTTGGTGTTGTTGCGGCAACGATGACTGAACATGCCATGGCTGTGCAGGGAGCACAACGTCAAGCTAGCAGACTTCGGATGCTCCAAGATAAAGGTGCAGTCCTACGTGACCGCAGGCTTCGCTGGGACCATGATGTACATGGCGCCAGAGTGCTGGTTCTCCAAATTCGTTCCCAACCTGCATGTGCGTTTTCAGAACATCGACATCTACTCCCTTGGGGTGGTCATGTGGGAGTGCATCACAGGCAACCGGCCGGACTCCACCTCCATGTCCTTCCCCATGGAGGATGCTGGGGTTGAAGGCCGCATGGACAGTTTGGGGTCCCAGGCGGGGCACATGAACGAGATGCACGTAAGGAGCAGGTTTCCGATGAGCGACGAGCTGCCCAGGGAGCTGTGTGAGCTGGTTTGGAGCTGCCTGGCGTTTGAGAACCACAGGCGGCCAGACTGCACAGAAATTCGGGACAGGCTAGAGGAGTTCATGTCGGCAGAGTGGGTGAATTCATTCCCTTCCCACAGGTAAGGGCAGCGGCGGGGGAGCCTGTATTGAAGATAACGAGCGAGCTCCTCTGAGACTGGGGCCATTTTGCTGGTTGAGAGGCAAGCGCACCTTTTGCATGTGGTGCTGTGGCTGGTGTGTGTATGTGTGCATTCCCACCCCGCGCTTTTCTGGATATGGGGCAGCGCAAAAGAACACTGCCATGCACCGCGTCATTGTGATTGTGTGTGCCACACCTGCTTGGGGGACTGGCCTCCGTTTACGGAGTTGCGGGCTGTGGGGGGATTGCAGAGTTTTGGGGTACATGATAGGGCTTGGGCTTGCAACAGCGTCTCACTCGCGTTGCAATGATCTGCGGAATTGCGAGACAGCCAAAGGAGTATATAATTATTGTTTGAGAGTGGACAGAGAGTATCCACAGACGCATCTTCGTCATGCTTTCCTGCCTCCAGGGGCTTCAGCAGTTTCTTTGGCGGTGATCATTATCTGTAGAAAGGAGCTTTGTTCTAGTTTCCAGATTTGAGCGCTGGGTTGCCACGTATGTGAGCGTGAGAAACAAAGGGAAGAAAATTAGCTGCATGTCGATTACTTTCTGGCACCAATGCCCGGACAAAGGCTTGTCCTTTGTATTCCTCATCACCCCATCCGGAGATGGGCGGCCATGACATTTGCATCAACTGTCAATGGTACCCATCGATCGTCACTGGCGATTTGCTCGTCAAATGCCTCACCACAGGCGTGACTGCTGGATTCAGATTGACTATCATGTTGCATTATCAAGATTGTCCTCAACAATGGAAACACACGCTGTCCAGAATGTGATTCATGGCATGCAACCACGCCGAGAGCAAGATTCCTGCTTATGATTGAAGTCGGCAAGGTGATGGATGGGCGGAGGCACGAGAACTAAACTGAACTGAACTGAGCTAGAACTGAACTGGACTCTAATTCACACTAGTTCCGCCGCCTGCCACAGGTCAGTTCAAGTGTTGCCCTCGCCGCATGACAGTGCAACGAAGCAACGAATTTGCTGATCGCCACAATCGGCACAGGGGCTGTGGTTCTGACAATCGAGCGCCACCAAACTTTCTTCCCTAGTGATTATCTTTTCTGGTCGCACTATCATTCCGATGGGAGAGACGTCAGGAACTGCTGCCCTTGCTCACGCTGAGTCACCTGGTGCTCAAGTTCGGCACCAACGCTGTATTCTCGCGTCGAATACTCGCAAGGTTGTTTTGTCCATTTGCGGCTTCAGCGTCCCTTTAGGCGCAACGACTCGCCATCAACAACAAGCAACTGGCACAGTGTGACCAGGTTCGCCACAATGCGAGCACAAATTTGACTACCACGAATCGCCAGCTGCAAGCGCTGCCCTTCCATGGATCGAATCAAGAGATGACCGCAGCTGTTACAGGAAAACTTGAACAGTGCAATTCGCGAGTTGTCGTAACAATTCACCAGCGTTGTCCGCTCTCAAACAGGTCGACAGTCCCCTTTGACGATCGGCACATCGGCGACGAGGTGTACCCGTTGCTCAGCAAACAAAAACATGCTTCACAGCTTCAACTAAACTTTGTGGCTTCTTTCCTTAAAGGCACATTTCTCGCTGCCCATCGCTTCGCAGCACTCCTCACACCGCAATCCCTGCAGGGGCTGCGGCTTTTGACCCTGCCAAGATCACCACAAGAGTTGGAAGTGCCGGTGCGTTATGCTTTGGGTTGAATCGAGAAGTATAAGGCAAGCGCGACATCGCGTCAGGGGGGAGATGGACACAAATACATAGTAATTCTTCTGTGCATCATGTGAGCCTGGTGGGAGAGGATCTCGTTGAGCACGAATGCAAAATATGACAAAACAGCCATCAATTTTCTCTTCCACTGCCAGGCCTATGGTAACATCTGTCGAAACCCCTCTTGTCTTTTCCGATTTCGCATTGAAAATCACTTTTTGCTTCGATTCCTGGTCGCCAACTGGCGAGGACACTTCTTTTGATGTATAATCACCGACAGTCGCTTATTGGCATTAAGAGATAAAGAATTTATAGACTTTGTTTGCGTTTTCATTGGATTTCAGTGAAATAACTGATCATATGCACTCGTCTGCTCGGGTAAAATAGGAAGCTGACGGCTACCTCATTGCCTTGTTCTGTGGAAAACAATGAACACATAATTAAAAAAGCCAACAGTTAACCAGTTGGCAGAGCGCGTGGGTCAGGTATCACGCCCCCGCCTCCCCCAGGCCAGACTCTGACCCGCACTCGGACCCTCATCTGTCCCAACGGCAATTTGGGGGCTAGTACATTAGGGCAATACTTCAGAGGAGCGGGAATCAGCCAGTACCAGCCCACCAGGAGGGCGGAATCGTGGATTCCGCCCCCCTGCCCTGGCGCGGGGGCGGGACATGTGGCTCTGGGCCACGCACCAGGAGGGCGGAATCGCGGATTCCGCCCCCCTAGCCCTGGAGCGGGGGCGGGACATGTGGCTCTGGGCCGCCCAGACTGGGCGTCCCTGTTGGCGAGGGTCAACCAGAACCACATGTCCCACCGACCCTAGCGATTCCCACCCCCCCCAGTGATTCCCACCCTCCCAGCGCTGTCATGTTTCTGGCGCCCGCCACCGGCCAGCGCTGAGATGGCAGTTGCAGTACTGCGACAACCACTGCGTTGAGGCGAGGGTGGCAGGACCCGCAAAAACGCACGCGAAACGTCCAGCCGCAGTGCAGGCAAAAGGCGCCAAACCCGAGTCGCCGAGCGCCCGCGACTTGGTCAACCGAGCATGCACGGATTGGACGAAGAACTGGCGAGGTGGGCAGGGGTAAGCCCTCCCCACACAGCAATTCCCAATGGCCCATCGCAATTTCCGCCGGCACGACACGAAGCACGCGAAAAGCACTCAGCAGCTGACACGCGACGTTTTCAGCTCGCTCGCTTGTCGCACGGGCAAAACCCGGGCGCTGAGATCAGCCCATGCCAACGGGATTCGGGCAATCGACGCTTGTGCAATTCTGCACAACCGCACCAAGCTATCGATCCAAACGAAGAGGTTGGCTCGTCAGCACCCCACGCGCCCTGCCCTCCGAGGTCCGACTTCCATCGGGCTCCCTTCCGTTGGCCAGCAGCTGACTTTCGTGGCGATCCAGGGTCGGCGCCCCCGCCATCGGTGGCCAAGACGATAAGCAGATCTCAAGGTGTGGGGCGCGTTCCGCACAGTGGGCACATGACCGCGGCAAGGAGCGGCTGCCTGCCTGCACTGGCGCTGGGCACAGCGCCGCATTGCGCGGCGCTCCCTGAGCACACTGCGCGCTGGGCACTGGCAGCGCCGCCTGTATGGCCTGCAGTTTTGGCGGACTGTGGTTTGAATGATAGGCTTATGACAGTCAGGAACCAGCCTCACGTGTACCGTGGGGACAGCCCGGTTCCCAACTCGTAATGGTTGGGACACGCCGAGACCGCACTCGGGATGACAGGTGGACACGCAGCCCTCGGGGCACTCGGCCAAGATTCCCGACTCGGGCGCTTCGCGCCCTCGTCGGGAATCTGGCCTCGTGCCCCTCGGGCTGCGTGTCCACCTGTCATCCCTCGTGCGGTCTCAGGCGTGTCCCAACCATAACTCGTTGGGAACCTCATACTGACCATCTGAAGGTGGCTGTGCACGCTTGATCGCCTGCGGCGACCGTCTGCCGCCATGCGCCCCCGCATCCCTGTCGGGCCCCACTCGCGCGAGCCTCAGGTCCTCCTTCGGGCGGGCGGCATTGGCGGGCGCCCGCACTGGTCGCGCGTCGGCCCCGCGCGATCCGCGTCAGGATCGGCGTTCGGAACCGCAGCCGGATCGGACGGCGGTGGATCAATGAGCCCCTCGGCGTCGTCGGCGCCCTGGATGCTGATGGGGCGCGTGGTGGGGGAGGCCAGCGTGCCCCTCGGGAACGACGGGGTGATGGCGCTGAGGTTGAGAGACGCGCGCGCGAAGCTGGGCCTCTCGGAGGAGGGGCTGGCGGGAAGAATTGAGGTGCTGACCCACGCCTCCGTGCTGGCGAAATTAGAGTGACCTGCGAGTTGCGAGCATGTGTGTGGGGGGGTGGTTGTGTTGTTGGGGCAAATTGTTTGTGCACTGTTTGCCATCGTGGGGCAAAGCGGGGGCCTTGCATCTTTCAGGAGATGACTACCATGTACTAATCCAAATAGCTCTTCGTTTCTCTGCTGTCACCTGGAATTGTTGTCTGTTTATTGGTTTGGGGGCGGTGCTCTGCAAAGAAGATGGAGCTTGAGCCCATCAAAAGTGCATCTTGTTCCTGCCCCAGGAAATCAATCACGGCAAATCATTTCCACGTACTTTCCAATTCTATTCTGCCTGGGTGTTAATCAATTATTTGGCAGACAGCTTCATTGCACTCCAACCCCCATCTCATTTTGCACTTTGTGCCCCTGAAGCACTGCAGGCAGACTAACCTTTGTTGATTTACCAGTTCTGCTTTACATGACCGACCCACAGTTGCTCCAGCTTTTGGTCTTGCAGGCTTTGTTGAATCTGATTCCAGACTTGCAATCTCGGGTTGAAAGACTTCCACAAGACATTCTCTGTGGACTGCTGCAGGACTTGGAAGGAACTGCTAGTAAAATGGTAGGCAAGGACTGCTGCCTAATTGGAAACTAATTGCCACCATCTCTGTGCCTTCGCTCTCAAGAGCTCCTCCAAATATGGCAGGCATTGGGGCATATGCTGTTAAGGCGACACACAGCAAGGACAAATGACCACATCTGAACTGTGCATGGGAAATGATATTTGAAAATCAGAGTTAGCCATGGAGAGCATGTTGATTATTGGAGCTCTCAGCATACGATAATGTGAACATTGCTGTGTTTTTCAGTTCTGGTTTTCGCAGCACCTAAGTGTGATAGTTTGTGGAATACTTACCTGCCAGAACGCCCTGCCCTAACATCGATGCATATTTGTTGCTGATAACTGATGCACCAGCGATTCTCTATAAGCCCAGTACAGTTCCTCAGCCAAGCAAATCCACATTGGCACTCAAATAACTGTGGAACTTTGGAGTTCAGTTGAATACAATGATCTCTGGAGTTGACAAACAGAGTCGATTGACGACAGGAGGTTGGTCCATTGCCTGGAACATCAATTGCTATTTCTGGGTCGATTGGGAGCTTTCCAAGCTCATTGGCTGATAGGATCCGATCCATAAGAGGCAGGTTGGCCTTCAGATTTGGAAGAATTTGGCATTCTCACTTCTGGTTGCAGCCTATTGTCTCTTGTATTTTTGGTGGAGTTTCTGCAGAATGGGTGGCAATAGTGGCTGTCATTACATGCACAGTTGTAGAAGCATACGTGGGGCCCAAGGTGTTGCTCCTGCACAGGATTCGTATGGTGCAGTGACTGGCACCATGACATCCTGTCGATTCATCAGTGTAAATAAAACAACAGACATCAGCAGCAGACGAACAAGCAAAAAACCAGCAAATAAGCACAGCAGACAAACAAGCAAAGAAGCAGACCAGTCCCTGTTTGTGCTACTCTGTTTTCTTCACTGCGAATTCTCTCAGTAGTCGAAGTGTCAGGGCTGTTACACAACTTTCGGGCCTTTGAGCAAAGGGAATTGCGCAAAATGAATGGGCCTAATTTCATGAGGCATACTTAATGCCAATGACCACCTTTTCACCATGCCCATGCTGGTGCACAGGTCATCCTCACGAGACTGCTCCCTGATGCCAATATCTCTCTCATCGTCGCTCAATGCCCCCACCTGCTGTTCGACAGCACTTTCAAAGGGTTGCCTGACCAACTGGATAGGCTGCAAACCTGCCTGTCGTTGGACAAGGTCAGCATGGGGTCAATGCTGGAGCAGAATCCAAGATTGCTGCTGTGTGATGTGGAGGCAGTCATGGAGGATCTTGTGAGGTGAGGTGCACTGGGCAACCTGACAATGCCTAACCTGTAAGAGATCACTGCATTGCGAGCCTGTTGACAAATGAAGGCATCGTTGTTTGCTTACAATGGGGGAGCTCCCTTATTGATGGCTACATCGCCAACCACATTTTTTTCTTGGCTTGTTCTGTGACCTCTCATGTAGCCTTGCACTCTGCACTTGTACTTGAATGAATGAGTTACATGTATCCTGAAAGCCAACGTGAAAATAGGACACATCGGTGGTGTCGGGCCAGGTCATGTCATTTTTCTGCTGAGCTTTGATCGCAAGACAGCATCTGTTCTTTGTGGACCACAATGACCTCATCATGCATCGTAAAGAAGCCCTAACCTGCAGATGCCAACTCAACGCACAAATGTACAGGTCGAAAACTAGCACTTATACATCAATGTGGCACTGTAGTACTGCTAATACGTAGTGCACCACAGCGGATCGTCAGAATATCAGACTGCTGGAGGGATGACTATTGTTGTGCAGTGCATCCATGTGGATGGCGCTCCAATGTGCTGACACACCATAGGATTCATAGCACCCACATCAATGGACTTCATCCTTTGCTGGGTAGGCTGGATAATCAATTGTTGAGGCCAATGAGAGGCCCATCTCTTTTCCCAAAAGAACCCAAAGGCAATATTGCAAATGAAGTTCATGCCTGGCAGCAGCTGGATTCTCAGCCATGACACACTGACTACAAGTCACAAGGCCACATACCACCTGTCCTGTACCGGTATCTGAGCTGCTTATTGCCGGTGCACTGTGACGGCTTCTTCCTTCAAGTTAGGCTATCAATGTCTTACGGCTGCATAGGTGTGCACAGTGCCAAAGTTTTTAGTGCTGATTAGTGGATGGAACCCTGCAGGTTGATGCCCAATCACGACCCTGCTCAAGTCCTCCAGCAGAACCCCTCGATGCTTTTCGCAGCAGAGAGAGGACCAGCTGCCTTGGGCCCAGGAGCTGAGTTTGTTCAGGAGTAGTCCACTCACTGGATCAATCCACTGTGCATCAACTCAAAGATGTTCCCCGTGCTTGCTCACTAGCTCCAACACACATCTGGGGCAAACTGCCTGCATTACCAGAATCCAAGGCCAGCACTGACCCAAGAGAAGTGCATTTGCTGCAGGTGACCTGATTCTGATGCCCACAGATCAGATCTCTGGCTGAAAGGTTATGTACAGAAGGCCAATCTGCCTGTACTGCACGCCCTGGCAGAATCAGACTTGTCCACCAACCGTCCAAGCCACTCACGGCACATATGCAGATGACACAATGTGTGAAAAGTGCAGCAGATATGGCATGGAAACAGTGCCGGCGACCAGACATCGACCTGGACTGAGCAAGGTGGCTGCCTTGCAGCAGGATGAAGTGCTGCACTGAGATTCCGTTGGCCACGATCAATGTGCCTGGCGCTGAGCAGGCGAATCTGCCTGCGAGAACGTTGCAACTTGGCACAGCAGGGCATAGCTGGCTGGCTGCATGCTGGCTTCCATTTCTTGTTCATTGCGGCTGGCCACAAGAGATAATCTTCTCTTGTGCCAATGACTGGCTCCTCTATGAATCTGCATCAGTCGTTGGCTAGATTCAAGACAGAAAGTCTTTCTGTTCTTCCAACTGATTGATGGAATGCATGTAAGGCTATGGATGCACTGACATGAAGAACGGACGACTGAAGGCGAATGCTAGTGGTTGCAGTAGCTCTTGGTAGGGAACGCCCTGCCCATTTACGTCGCCTCAATACAGGTTTAGAATTAGCCAGCGTCTTTATGAGAGGCAGGTTTGCCAGGGATCGAGGGATCAGGGCAGAGAAACAGTGGCTACGGCCATGAGTCAATCTGGCCATGGCACCCTATTGCCAATCCAGCACTTGGAAGCTGCTCAGCTTCCTGTCACTCCAATTCGTATCGTTCAACCATTGTCTGCTTTGGACATGTGCAGGTTTCTCAGGTTGTGGATTCTGAAGAAACTGCCAGGGCTTGCGTCTTCCCCTTGTCGCCTGTTTCGTGTGTACCATTACTTGCAAAACGCTGCATTACGCATCACAGAAAATGCAAAAGATCACCACTATACGTGGGTCCAATGTCACACCCCAAACTCCTGATGTACCCCTGCACCAAGACAGAGATATGGATTGCCAGCAAAGGAAGAACTGCACGTCGTGTCTAACTTTGTGCATGCTACACAGGTCCTTGTCCTTCACATCTGGGTTAGATCAACGCCTATGTGGACTTTGGTAGCAGTTCGAATGCTCATCTTTTCCTGGCCCCTCATATGCAAGTGCACACACAAGGAAACGAAGGTCGGAGGGATTAACAGACCAATTCGCAGCGTGCATCAATTCAGCATCTGGCAGCCTCGAGATTCATGCTCGCAGGTGAGGTAATCTACGTGACATTGAAGGCCAGGATGGTCGATCAAACCACAGCAATTTCTCAAGGATGTGGGTGCCACCATTGTATCTCCACTGTCTGCCAATATAGTGTCAGTCATTCCGTCTGCCCCGTAGTTGACTTTCACAGATCAGTATCACCACAGTGCATTGGGCAACAAGAAGAGCTTTGCGCCGGATTCACAGTCCAACGGTTGACGTTCGGCAGTTAATCAGCAAGAACTAAGGCCCCAATGTTCACCCCTTTCAGCAGGGTTCACATGCTATTTCCCAACTCCCCTGGGTCATAGCGGACACAAACGTCCACCGCGTCCACCGCGTGCACAAATTTTCAAAGAGGCCGCCTGTTAATTTGCAGCCTCCGCGGCCCTCAGCACCCCGCTGCCACGCTGAGCGGCGAGTTTTCTCGTCAAGCTCTTTTGTAAAGAATATGCCTGAACGTGCAATAATCAAACAACGACCTGCATCCCATCTCCCCACGCCCCGCCACCTGCACAACGCGGACACACCCCAACCTCGCTCGCCCCAGCCGGCGGACCGGCCCCGCTGCCCCACGAAAGGCGACAAACCGGAGCCGATCCAGCTGCTAGAGCCACCTGTCGATCGGCAGACCGCCGCAATCCGCCGTTCCCAGCGCACTCGCCCACGAAACCACATTCCCATTCCGACTTCCCCTGCCTCCCACAGCTGCCCCGCCCCAACTCACCCCCCCATGATCTCCCTCTCCTTGGCCTGCCGTATCCTTTCCACCTCGCCGATGTACCGGTCGGTCAGCCGTTGCACGTCCCTCTCAGCCCGCTTGACATCGTCCTCGCCGCCCAGCCCGCCCGCCGCATCCATCCCCGCCTTGCGCGCCTGCCGCACACCAACCTTTGCAGCCTCCGCCTCCTTCCCCGCCACCCGCGCCATCGCCGCCAGCCCTTCCCGCGTGGGCCGCGGCAGGGGCACCAAGATCTCGGAACCCCCTTCTTCAAGCTGGGCGGTCAACTGTAGGGGAGACTCGCGGATGGCCTTGGCGACGGCATCCGCTGTGGCGGGATCGAAGACCGTTGCCGCCAGCAGCTGGGGGTCCCGCACGGAGACCGCCGCCAGCGACTTGAGCGGCATGCGCTCGCCGTAGGCGCGCACCTCGACGTGGTCCAGCATGCCCGGGGACGCGCGCCCCGGCCGGATGTTGGCTAGCTCCCCCTTCAGGCGCTCGATCACGCGTTGCATGGTGGCCTCGACCTTGGCGCAGACGGCAGGAACACAGCCAAGGGTGCGTTTTTTTGCACGGGAGGGTACGCCCGGGATCCAGCGGTCCCCAAAAGGGTCAAGAGCAAGCGGGTTTCAACGACCCAATGGGGATTCCCGCTGTGACTCTCTAGGTGGGGCGGCGCAAGCGGGGCGATCACAACCGCCGCTGCTGTCTCCATGCGCGAGGGGGCATGCAAGAGATCAGTCGGCGCTGAAAAAGTTCAGAAATAAGCATGGTTCGCCGCTTGCGCTCACGCTGGCCATCTGCGGTGATCCCCATGTGCCCATGGCCCTTTGGCGGGGCGCAAAACGGCATGCATACAAACCCCCCTGCCGTTGTCGGTCGCAACAGGGCACCCAGCTATCAAGCAGGTCCAAAACGGACCGCAAGTGGACATAGGGAATCCATTGGAGTGGCGCTTCTGCCCTGGATACCTCGCTTGTCGAGAAGTCCTCGTATGCCACGTGGGCGTCCTTGGGTGCCTCCTCCCTGTGCCGCCCGCCTTTCTGGTGCTTTGCCTTTTTCGCGAATCCATGCCGGGGGTCCAGCGCCCAGTGCGGGGCCGCCTGGACGCCGCTGATCAGTTCGCCGACCGGCGCCGCAGCGCGATCGGCAGTGTGCCGCCTTAGCTGGTCGAAATCACAAAACAACGGGGCCTGGGATTCGGCGGCGGTGGCGGCGATTGCCGCCCTGAGAAGCGATCGGTAGCGCAGGGCCCTTGCGGCGAGCATGTGTGAGGGGCGTTCTCGGGTGCCGTGGCGAAGTGTGCCAAGCGGTTCCCAGTGGTGCCGTTCATGTGAGGATAGTGTTTGGGAAGAAACGAACTGGGCTTGCAGTGTCTTGGGCCGGCAAACAGTTTGTCAACGCTGCCTTGGCTCGGCGCTACCGCACTATTAGTGCAGTGCATTTTTCGGGGTTTAGAGTTGGTGGACCCCATGAGGTGAGGGAGCGGAGTTGGAACGAGTCCAGGCGATCTGGATGTCGGCCAGATTGTCAACGGCCTCCTGTGCGGTCGGCCGTGTGTGGCGCCCTCGGTTGGCACCTGTGGCAGGAAGGCGCTGCGGCCTGCGCTGTGCGGTGAGCCGGGTTGCTGCAAGCCAAGTGCATCAGCGCTGGCAGTAGCTCAACGTCAATACCGCCCTCGGGACAAACGAGGCTCTGAAGAAAATCCCAGCAATAGGCCATGTACTTTAGAAGCATCAGCATCGTTTGTTCACAGAACCCAGGCCAAACCAGGTGCACTGAACTCGAGGGCAGAAATCAATCTCTGAGACTGATGATCGGGTGGACGGTTGGGTTGTACCATTCTCACGCTGGCTATTGGACGGGTAGTCATCCCTTCAATATCTTTTCTCTCGAGTATGGAAGGATGCGCGGTGTTGCATCTCACTGTGCCTCGCCTTGTGCCAGTGCATGCACGGAGCAGATCATCTGCAAGGTGGAGGCGTTTGGAGTTCTCGAAGTAGTCCCCCAATGTGTCGCTGTTGAGTATGCACGTAGGCCTCCCTCGGGTCAAACAATCAATCCAAATCCAGCTATCCGGTGCAAGAAGGACTGGTCGATCTCAATAGCCCTCACAGAGATGATTCCCATCCGACACATAAACGGAACACCTATAAAGAAGCATTGGTTGCCTCCTTCCCATGCACATCTTCTCTGCACTAAGTCTCATTCGCACTGATTCCATATGGCAGAGGTGGCAAAAAACTACCCTTGCATGTAACAGGTGATGTGATCTGTAGTTGACAATGACTAGTGTGTTTACTTCCACCATGTGTCTAACATTCCAACTTACCACCTGTTGTGACTGGTCCTGACAGGCAATGGCAGGCAGCAATCCAAAGTACTACCTTTTGCACTACACCTACGTGCCAGACATTCTGGAACGAAGGGACCCATTCAGGGCCAAGCATTTGGAACAGGCACAACAAGAAGTGGGTCAATACATGCAGCTTGCACCGCTGCATTCATTCTTGCTGGGAGGGTTTGCTCCAGTATGTGGTCCAATGCCCAATCTCAGAATTCAGGGCAGAAAGACACAATTCAACCCATGCATCGATTTGCAGAACTGGCACAATTCCAATTGTGCAACAAATGGGATGGCAAGCATTGTTGGAAGAAGGGAACAGCACATCACGCAATAGGGGCATTGCGCATGCAGTGTTTGAAGGCAAGCTGTGACAGGCAGTTGCATTTCAAGACTTGTAGCAAAACACAGCAGCACATGGTAGTTTGGGCTGTGGGTGGGCCCTAACAGTGCACTTCAAATGAATTCTTGGCCTGGCAGTGCGATGCCAACTCTGGCTGCTCAGCTGATGCTGCCGATTTTTGTGTCTTGAAGAATGGCATGCCCAAGAGTGGCTTGCATGGTTGCCAAGGAAGGCATGCTGCTACACTCATTTTGAATACAGTGTGTCTTATATATATTGTGCACCGAGCCACCTACCAATCCTCAGGAGATGAGGAACTGTTTTTAAATTTTGCAGAGTTTCATGCATCATCTCTCTAATTGTGCAAAGAGACAATGATAGCAGACCTTGCAAGAATCAGGTTTTACCAATTATCCATTTTGCAACGATTAGCAGAATGGTTAATACAATATTCCCCAAAAGATCAGGCCTTAATTGTGTCCAGCTGCATGTACATCTGGGGCATATCAATTTCTAGAACTCAACTGCCTAGGAAGAAAAATTGAATGCTGTGAGATATGCCTTGCACGCAAGGCTGTCTGTGATGCAACATTTTGATTGGGGTTCAAGACGGGATTTATGTTGTTTGCATTCTGAACATTCTCTATATGTACTTACTCCATAAACTTGACAATGGACCTTGAACGTACAATGGAAGACCATTGCCATGTTCATCGAATTTATTCTGAAGATTTGTATGCACACATAATGGTGTTCATGTGCTTTTGTTTCATTCTGTTTTGTAGGTGGAGAAAGGGAGAATCCTCTTGGCTGGAGCTTGTGGAGATCCTGTGGATGGTGCAGTTTTTGTATTCCAGGACATGAGTCCAGAGGTTGGAATTGAAAGCCAGCATGCCTGGGAAGAGCAAATTGTGGCTGCAGGCATTGTCAGAATTATGCATTGTTCAAGGCATATGTGTCTGTATCTCCACTGAATGCAGATAGTTGGACAGTGTCTTGTTGTATACAAGGGACGTTCCTTGTAGGCGGCTAGACACTGTCGAACCATTCGCTTTCAGTGAAGCCAACTGTGGGTCAACTCATGGTGCTTGTCAAGAGAAATGGCAATCTCCACATCATCAGGGCAGACTTTGAAGAAGAATCATGGAATGTTGGAGTTAAACTATACGCATCAGAATTGCTTTATTTGGATGGGATATGCGACAGCATTGTGGACAAGAACTGATTCAGGGCAAATGTCTGTATTGTTGAATGCTGCTAATTGCCACCCACCAACACATCATTAACACACCGCACCATAACATGAACACGGTGATCTTGGCGCTCATGCTTATGTTGATATCACCTGCTGTTTACCAGGAATAGCGTTCCTAGGCACCCGATGAACTTGGCTGCCATTTCTGCTGCCTGTTCAGCAGTATTGTGTTGCTTTGAGCTTGTCAATTGCATCCCCAGCCTGGCGGTAGGCCTTGGCCGGTGCACATGTGAATACAATCTAGTACTTCTGAAGTAAATGATATGGCATGATGCAACACATAATGTACCTTTCCTAGCTGCTAGTGCTGGAAGTCTATTGTGGAAGTTTGCTACAATGTTATGTTATTGTTGTTGAGTTTGCAGCCGATGCAGAAATTTCCTTGTGACACACGAACTATGTAGTTTAGGCTCTGTGGGGGTGTTGACCCTTCACAGGGACTTCCAGCGATTCACAAAATGTAAACAACATGTTGGTAAGGATTGGGCTGAACGGCTAGTTCCTTGTGACTATTCGCCTCCACGACTGTGGAACACTCCAATAACAACCATCATACCATTAGAGTTATTGAAGTCCATATCCTGACTGACAAAGTAGCACTGGTGACGTGGCGATGTTTATGTTATCACTATTGCCGCGAGTACACATTTTACTCTACATGCTTTGTTGATGTTGTGTGTATTCTTTTGATGCTCCCAGAACAATGAACACCATTGCTGACGTGTTGCATTGCTTGCACGAAGGAGATTGAAGAATATGTGAAACGAGACCCCTATGTTGTGAACGACTTGGTTCCAAGCTGGTAAACGTGCACTGTATCTCAATTTTCGAAATACACTGGCCTCCTGACCCTGTCTCTTGCATCTCCAATTGAATAAGTGTAAGTTGCAGATTTGACGTTGTCTCGGTCACTGTTTTCATTGTGTGAAGTCGTGGAGAATCATATGTCAGTGTGTTAACATGTGTTGAAACGGAGCCAAAGCATGCAATCGTCATGTGTGTTTCACAGCCATTTGTTAGGAGTGCAACATGCACAGGAACACCTCTTGCCTTCCATCTTGCATTTTTCTTGCATCGACATCTTTGAAACTCCAAAATATGGTCAATTCGATCATCTTAACATAGTGGTCAATACCTTAAGCATCAACTCCTAGACTGGGGTGATGATCGGCCCGCTCTCTTGCAACAATTTGACGGGCTTGGGATGCCTCCTGCAGCTGCCCTCACATGAGCAATGAAGTCCAAAAGTCGTTGCTCAGAAACCTGGATCAAGAAGGCATCTTCGATCCAGTGATAGGACTTTGCTTTGCAGCTGCCATTGATTGTGGGCTTGGCGATTAGGTGCTTCGAAATTTCTATTGGCCTGCTTCTTCATCAGCATTGGGCCAGCTTTAGTCTCAACAATGTGGGCAGTTCTACACATGTGCCTCTCTTCCTCTGCCAGAATGGGTGCTCCAGATGATCGCAAAAGACAGTCTTGCAGTGGTGCTCTGGAGGACGATTGCGAAATGATATTTAGTCCATAGTACTGAATAGATTGACTTGATTTAGTGCATGTATGATGCCATTTGGATTGGGTTTGAAACTCATGCAAACATGTTCAGGTGAAATTTCGCTGGGAACCAAGTTTTCCATGATGGAGAAATATTACGTGAAAGTCATACTGGACAACCAGCTCGGTATGCAGGTGTTACAATCATATGAATTCAATGTAGTGAACGAGGGAGGCTGTGCCACCACTGGAGGCTCGACTCTTTGTTGAAGCTGGTCGAGTTATTGGCGTTAAACCCCACTCGTTTTGCAGTTTGTGTTGTATACACCTCACCCTCGGAAGCCAACGTGGGGGCACAAAACACCTCAGTCACTGCAACATTCTTATGTTTTCCTTTGTTATCTAAGATGCAACTCGCTCTTGGGCTTTTGACCTCTGTTGGGAGCAGTAAATATTACTGAGAAGTGTTTTGTTTGCTGTATGTTGTCAAGTTGTTTTTGGCTTCATCTTCTGATAGGTTGCAAAATGATCTGGCACACCTTGTTAAGGTATTTATTATATTTTAATTAACTCTGTATAATAAATGAGTTGAAATTTCTAATCAAAGGTCTCTTGCTTGGGGGTTTACCTTATACGATGTTGCACAATTCTTCATGCCTTGGCAGCATTCATCCACGTGCTCAACAAAGAACATCCTCACTTCAGTGAGAAACATGCTGAGCCCAAGACTGCTTGCTTCCTTGTTTTTCTATACTATGGTGAACATCAATCTACATCTTGCTTTCCATAGTGGGTGGTGAAGAGCTATGTAAATGGCCACTGTTATGGAAGCATTCTGTGCGTTGAAAGATGGTAGGCATTTCTCACCTCATTCACCTCAATTGGTGCCCAGGTCTCTGAAGCCATACCATGTTAGCATTGGCCCGAAATCCTCACAATGATGGTCGTCCAAGGATGTTGAAGTCATTCCATAGTGGTGAGTAGGCCTGGGAACCTTTGTGTGAATTCCCTATTCCTCCCATGCTGTTCAACTTGCATTATGCTGGCACAAGGGTCATGGGCTGTCCAAGATCTCCTTGATTGATGCAGCACTTCAGCTGCCAAACATGCCACAAAATGGCAAGTGTGCAACTGCAACTATGTTACTTGGCACATTGTTGGCTTTCTCTCCTTCCTTTGGTCAAGAGGATCCATACAATGCGTATTGTTGAGTGTTGCAGTTTTTATTATGCATGTCTGTATCTATAGTGGAGACAAAGTTCTAGCGATGAGTGAGGGGACTGTGGCTTCCATGTAATCGTAGCTCCTTTGCTGGCACTGAATTGGCTTAGTGCCATCCTGCATGACATACAAGATGACACTAAGCCAATTTATTTTCATCCATGCACTGTTGAAAAGTGTTGTTGTGTGGTCTATCTGCACAGAAAAACATTGTTTCTTCATTTTTTGCTTGCATCCAAGTAGTGATAGCCCTTTGAGTTTCACCTGGTCCCAATTGAGGTACAATCTGGTCCAAACCCAATGTGCTGAACACCTTTTTCACCTACTGCAACTGTGTGGAGGCTTGACCTAGTCTAAATTGCATGGAAACATTGTCAATTGGGGTTGGAGCTGGCCGATGCTATGCTAACTAGTTGTAGCATTCTTTGAGTTGACCGTAGCACTGGTGCCACAGCAGAGAGCCCACCAATGGCCCAAGGCATATTGCTGGTGATGGCACCATTAAAAAGCACCAGTGGAGCACAGCTGAGGCACGCCTCTCCGCCGTGGTGTGGTGGAAAGGGGAACTTTGGTTGGTCAGCGTGGGAACGCTTGTCAGGTTTACCCTGGATGAGTGTGTTCAACAATTTGGGGTTATTGGGAGGTGGTGGAGATGGGTGGGGTAGTATGGTGTGTGGTAGGGGGTCTACAAGTTCCACATGTTTGGATGGACATGGAAGCATCCCAGTCAGGATCTGAGAAGCTACATGGTGCTTTGGTTGAAACCACCATGCAAGCTTGCTTTAATGCATACAAGCGACCTCCATCACCAAAATTTGGCTGGGCACAATGAACATGAATGGCCAAACTCCAAGATAGGGGCTGCTGCCAGGCTAGAATGGTGCACAAGTTTGCCCACATGTGATGAAGGCAATTGTGGCAGCATGACACACTAGATCAACAAGCAATACCTTTGTGATGTTGTCAGAAAGGTGGTGTTCGGGGTGCCAAACCAGGCAACCGGCAGTGGCACAACGTCACAAAAATTGAATCTCGAGTCTCGATGGTTCTCAGTCATAAAGACGACCATTGGATTATGACAGAGCAGATCTTGTCCTCTCTGTCATAACTGGACCCGCCCGAGACACTATCTTAACAGGGTGTTATCTTTGTTATTATGTGAGGAGCAGCACATCAGGTAACCACCCAACTTGTATGGGGGCGGGTGAGACTTGGTTCCAACATTTTCTCCCCTTGGCAGCCTAGGTTTTCTGTATATCTATTTCTATATAACTTCAACATTCTGTCCACGGCAACCAATTGACCATATGACAACACATTTCACACATACTAACCATTGCCCCCTGCTGCACATTGTGTTCGCATATGCCTGCAACCACACGCAAATGCCTTGTACCCCTTCTTGGGTAGATATGTTTCCACTACAACATATTTTCCATTCACAATCACAGCCAAATATTGCAATACTTGATATGGCTGTGAATACCCCTTGTGCATACACAGGATCCATAGAATGGCAGTGGTTGATGTTGCTGACAGATATTCCCCCATTCAAGATAATATTGAATACACCTTGGCAGACAACAGAATTCCAGATACGACATCTTCATGTCAAGCCTCTCTTGTCCACGTGAGGAATGCATTAATTTATTCATCCATTGTTGAATATATGATGGTTTGAATATATGATGGTATTACTGAATATGGTGGTTACAACAAGCATTTGTTGGCACCTTTTGCCCCAACCTGCTTGCCACTGCCATCTTGCACCACGTTAGGCTGATGTCCTGTACTATCCCTTTTTGGGGTGGGGGGTAAGATAATAAAATCTGCAACAATAGCTCTCCAAGAGGCTTTGCTAAGTAAGAATTGCCCAATAGGTGCCACACAAGAATGAAATGGGCACATAACCATGCACAAATGATGTTATATTCAGAGTCCTGCTGCAAATTTGGATTGTTGTGGCTAGTTGGCCACCATAAGGAACAATTGGTGCTAATGAACAAATCTGCTGAATTGCGGAGCTTCGCTTTGTGGCGTAAACCATCTTTGTACAAGTGGATTCTGTTCTTTGAGACATATTACGAGAGGTGCATTGATTCGCTGACAAAGAAAATAATATTGTTGTTGGCTTTTATTGCTTGTTGCTATATTTGGTTTTCAGCCAGAAGCATGCCTTCTCCAACATCTACAAAATCGTTGACAACAGGCAGTCAGTGATGCCATTTGCCAATTGTGCACGTTGTTGCTTCAAGTTGACCATTCCCTTGCACTTTCAGAGCCACATCATAGGTGAACATGTCTTCAAGCCATATGTAAACTCGACCTTCCTAATGTGCAATTCCACTAGATTGTTGTTTGGAGTAGTATTGGGCTGGCTTTGATGCAAAGTACCACTTATTCTATGGAGGAGCAAAATGCTCCTTATCTGACTAATCTGAAAAGCCTGCTTTCCAATCTCTAATCCTGGCACACCACTTCCTCCATGACAAAACGTTGCACACAAGATTGTTGCTGCTTTAAGCAGGGAGACCCTGACATTTATAGTAACAGAGTATCACACATACATTTTGATTGTGTGGTTGGCCAAGGAGTATCCGGATCTATACTTGGTCAAAGTAGATCCTACATTAGCAACCCAGTTGAAACAAAGTTATCCCTCCTTGCAGGAGCGGATCATTGTAGAGTTATCTTTCTGCTAGTACCCTCTCGGCAGAGGTTGAACATTGCTATGCAGATTTGCAATTTTGTAAGGTCCACACATCACCCATATATTTGCCCACTAGATCATCAGCCACTGCGTTGACTTAGTGAGTAGCATGAGGACAACAAGTCACCAAAGAAGGTATAAAAGGGTTGCACCACAATAAATTCAGGCCTTAGGGCTTTGCGTGTGGTGGTGCATTCAACATCTAGCATACCCCGGATGGTGGTGGGTTCATATCCTGGTGGTGGTGATGCTTGGTTGGTCGTAACAAGCACCTTCTCTTGCATTAAGAGCTGCCCCAACTCTCCCAACTCCCTGCATTCTTCATGTGTATAGGATCCGTATTGTGGGTAGCGAGTTAGAGGTGATAAATAAGGGAATGTGATAGCAATTCACTCACAAACGATGTGACGGATTGAAGCACAATCGTCAAATATCCCCACATTGAATTCGAGCTCAATTCTGAAACATTGCCACAATCATAAATGTCTCAAAGATCAACTTCACACCTACATGGGGCAATGTTGAATTTTGGACGTTAGCAGTTACAAAACATTCATTCAAGTGTGCTTATGCTCAGTTGAGCTTGCTCCTCTTGCAGATCATATGTTCTAGAAACTCTTTTTTGGTTTTGGAAATGACAATCATTGTCGAAATAGCATTGACAACATAATTTCAAATCATAGCGAAATGCTGTGTAATTTTCATGAATAGTGGAAGTTGAAACTGCCCACTTTTCCTTGCGACATGTTCTTGCACCTTCCATGTCCTCCACATCTATTTTGTTGCCTTTGTATGGAGGCCCTCCCAATTCATTACATTTAATCGTCTTTTCCCCAAATACAAATCTTCTTCCAAGTTCCGAAACTTATCATACCAGCACTTCTGAAGTGCCAGCATCCTCTTTGGTATACACAAATTTCTTGACACAATCAATTGTCTATAAACCTTGCATATACCCGTGTACTCCCGCGTTTGGGTCAGAAATTTCTGCAAGTCGGGGATGACCCCCTTCTCCTCCATGTGAGCCATGCCTCCGTCATCCACGAAAGTTCTGACCCGTTCTAGAGCCCCATACGCAGCCTCGACTACTCGCGTGTATCTCAGGGGTCCGTTATACACTCCAAACGGGAGGACCGTCCAGACGAAGACTTCTAATGTTGAATCTGATGGCTCGTCCTCAAGCCAGTGATGGCCTGCATACTATCCATTATGCGCTGACATTCATTAGGGCTACCATCAAGACTGTGACGCCCGTGCATTTAGCAAAACTAGTATTCATTAGTGGTGCTGTAGAGCTCAGAAATTGTTCACCCTCAACCAGCAACGTGCTATTCCGTTTTGATATTGTCAACACAATATGCAAAACACACCGGACTATGAAACGCGTTGTGTTGGAGGTTTGTGTTGGAGTGATATGCTTTTCTTATACATATTTGAAAATTACATAGAGGATGCTTTGGGCAAGTTAGCATCACGGTTGATGTCTTTCTGTGTAGAAGGTATTGAGAAGTCCCATATATATTGACATAGTACAAGCAAATGTGTTTATTTTTTCACTCCCCCCCCCCTAAATTTTCAAATAGTTCTTTGTTTTTGGCCATGTCAACAAGGGGTATCAGACATAGGTAAGCTCATTGCAGTACAATAGGCTACAAAAATAGCATACTACACCATTTTAGGCAACAACTAGATCTCTCATGCATGTAGGTATGATGCAAAAATCCACATTGAATACAATCCTGATAAGATGAACACAACTGCCCATTTCTACAACTTGGTGTATTGTCTACTAGCAAACTAGCACGTGCATATGAATGGGGCAAGTTCGCCCAAATCTTGTGACCAACACCCCAGTCTTGCAAAGGATGCTCATTGATAACTCCAAACCATGATGCTTCAATACAAGAATAGAATGCATGAATTAACCCTTAGTGAGCTCTCGTGTTGACAACACAAGAATTATTCTTGCTGCTCCTTTGCACGATGGGCTTCAAAGAATGAACAAATCCC